TGCTTCTTGGCAGGGGGTTGGATTGGATGGCCCATGAGGTCTCTTCCAACTTTTTGATTCTATGATTCTATAGCATATTCAGGGAAGCATTGTTTGTGTTCAAAATGGTGCAGCATTATAGTTCATTTGTTAGGATTCTACAAAGGCTTGAATCAAATAAGTTAAAGGAAGCTCACAGCAAGAAAGCTTCCTCCCCTGCCCTAAGACTTTCCAGTAAGTCTTTTGGGGTAGCACAGATATCAATAGGAAAAAGAAGTTTTTTCTGCTTGAAAGTCTTTTAACTATATTATTTTGGGATCCAGATGAAAGAGGTTATTGTTTGCGTGCTTGTCTTGCACTCTGCGTGTATTCGTGGCAGGGGGTTGGACTGGATGGCCCACAAGGTCTCTTTCAACTATGATTCTATGAATTAGATACTGCATATCTGAAATTATATTTTTGTTTCTGGCACCAAATTGGGAAAGATCTTGGGGAAACAGTGATGCCCATTGAAAGGAAACAGACTTTAAAATGTTGAAGCCAGAGGTATATAGAACAGTCTTCTTAATTCTCAGTGTACTTGCATGGAGTTGAAGGGGCATTCTCAGGCATTATAGTTTATGAAACTGTACCACAGCTTTCTAATATTAGAGTAGATTATTTGATGTTTACTTATAAAAATAATAGCAACAAAAAGTAAACCATACATCTCTAATGAAGCAACTAGCCCTTCTAGGCAGCATCTTTGAAAATAATATTGGAAAAAGATCATATCAAAAGGAAATGCTTTTTATCTCTTTTCAAATGCTCATCACCTTGGTTCTCCATTTAGTCTGAGTGTTATCCTCTCATCATTATGCTATAAATATCACTTATTAACTTCCCATGTAGAGTATAGTTTATGAAAAGAGACCTGAATGTTAAAGCAAGTGTTGGCTACCTTTGACCAGTAGTTACTCATTTTAAGGATGATTTTATGTGCGCCTTTGCAGTAGGACCCACCGGTGGCACAGTGGGTTAAACCACTGAGCTGTTGAACTTGATGTCCAAAAGCTCTGTGGTTCGAATCCAGGGAGCGGGGTGAGCTGCTGGGTTGGCAGAAGCTGGGGCTAACAGCAGGACCTCACCCCACTCCCTGGATTAGAACTGCCAGTCAGCAAGTTCAGCAGTTCAGCGGTTTAACCCGCTGTACCACCAGGGAGCCCCTATCTTGGAAATATTCTCACAAAATTGCAACATGAATGTTTTTAAATGGCATTTTTCATCTCCCCCTCCCTCTCCCCCGGGATTGAAAGGAGACTGGGGGTTCCCACTTTGCCACCCCATTTGAGAACACCAATTATCTTCCCAGATAGGAACAGGAAATGGATTTGTCTAATGTTGCATAAACTTAGGGTTGACAGGTTGTAACCCAGAGAGTATGTCTGCAACTCTAAATTTCACAGTGCAGCAGAAAGCATCTCTTCCTCCTTGCAGACATGTCCTGTGGTCTGAGCAGGAGCTGAGGTTGGAAACAGACAATAACATAGTAGAACTGAATGAATGTGCACAGCTGGCAAGAAAGATGGAAAGATAACATAACAAGAAGAAGCTTAAATGGGTCTAAGAGGCCATGGCTGTCTTTTCTGTTGCTTTCTATTCCTTTCACATTTTCAGGATTGCAAACACTGTGACCTATTCTTGACCGATGCAGATGCTTTTGACATTTTTTGTGTGGCAAAACTAGACGTTCTAGTGATATCTCACATCTATTATCTTCCATCTATTATGAAACTTTTATAAAATGGAGAGATTCCCATAGAAGTTGAAAATCCATTCTTAGAATGAGTTTATCTGTTTAGTAATTCAACATGTGCTTACCAGCCCTGTCTGCTTTGTTTTGGTAATATATTAAATTTGTGCCTCTAGGGAAAGACTTTTATGTTTTCATTACAAGAGCTCAAGCCCATCATCTGTAGGTACTTTCTGCCAGTTTTACGCTGTTGGTTATAAATTTTTGGACAATTGAACAGATTGCTAGCATTTATGTGTGGCAGCAGTTATTTAAATATCATTTGTAGCATATGGCAGACAAGAATTGAACTTACTTATGGTATATTTTAATGGTATGCTTAACAGCAGAGTTAAATAAAGTGATGGAGATAATTTGCTTTCTTCCCCATTTGGTGCCTTAATAAATATGTTTGTTGTGAGAAAGGAAGTGGAATATCAAAGACGCTGATATTGCTTCTACAGTAGAGTCTTGCTTATCCAACTTTCGCTCATCCAACGTTCTGTATTATCCAATGAAGTCTGCCTCCTGCCCAGATCCACAGCTGTTTCAATACATTGTGATGTTTTGGTGCTAAATTTGTAAACACAGTAATTACTACATAATGTTACTGTGTATTGAACTGCTTTTTCTGTCAATTTGCTGTAAAACATGATGTTTTGGGGCCTAATTTTTAAAATCATTACGTAATTTGACGTTTAATAGGCTTTTCCTTAATCCCTCCTTATTATCCAACATTTTTGCTTAGCCAGTGTTTTGCCGGCCCATTTATGTTGGATAAACGAGACTTTACTGTAATTAAAATGCTTATTTTGTAAGATAGTACTGGTTTTGAATGAGTGACAAACTATCCTTGATTCAGTGGTTTCCAAACTTTGGTCTCCCAGGTGTTTCCAAATTCAACTCTCAGAAGCCCCAACCAGCTTGACTAGCATTCGGGAATTCTGGGAGCTGAAGTCCATCCAAAGCATATGGACTAATGTTTGGGAATTACTTCCTTAAATCTCCTCAGTAACAATTGTTTCTGCTCTTGCTGAAGGTCACTTCAGGCAGGACTTTTCTCTGCCATTACTTGAAGATTACTAGAATCTCCTGCTCACTCACTCATATACTAATGAGCCTTTCTTTCTGAATCAATCAGTGGATTAAATTATCCTAATGATAGAATATTTTCTCTCACCTTGAAAAACATTGTCCCTTACACTTCATCTGTATGCATCTCTCATCTTCCCCCTCCACTACATACATATGTTGAAATGCATCCTTGCTTGTCGTGGACAAAGGTCCTGTGGTCTGTGAAGGAGTGTGCAACTCTAAATTAGAAGAGATGTTAGTACTCCTTTTCAAAAGTGGTCCATTTTGTAGGGCTCAGTATAAACAGGAATTCAAGAATTGTCCTGGGGAACTCTCGTTGTCAGTCTGAGTTTACAATACTATACTAGCTAGATCAGCGGTTCCCAACATTTTCTTGACCAAGGACCTCTTGATCAGGGACCACTCTCCAACATAAATACCAAAAGGGTTATAAATCAGGTTTTTTGTCAACTTTAGATTCAGTTTGGTTATTTGGGTTGGTGATTCTGAAAATTGCATTGGAAAGACCACATCAGCTCTAGTTTCTGATACAAAACATATGCCACCCAGTAGTTGCCATCTGCTCGCCCACAGAAAACCATGTTGAATAAACTAGAGCTGATGTGGTAGTAGTAATCGTTCATGAGTAGTCAGTCTCTCCTCTCCTGAACATCCCAGTTGTCTTGACACTATAAGAGGGTTTTGCAAGACCAATCACTTTTGTTGCCACATGGTTTCAAGGCAACGGTGTAGTAATGGTGAGGCCAAAGACCATATTTTCGTTTTTGTGGACCACTTGTTGGGAACCACTGAGCTAGATGGATAAATGATCTGGCTCAATATATAGCAATTTTCTATGCTTCTATAAATTCCCACATGCAGTTGAAAACTATCAATGAGTAACTTGTCTGTAATGAACAAATGAACAAGGCTTAACTGCATAATATTTACAGTTCATTTTAATAATTATCCCACTCAAGTTAGTGGGATCAAATAACAAATAGCAAATGCAAATTGTTTGCAAAAATACATAAAATTACATTTCTCTATCAGCTGTTGTAAAATAAGAAAGCTGAAATATATAAGCTGATTTAATTGTTTACATCAACATGGTTTAATTTTAAAAGAGGAGAAGCATTTCTGTACAACAGTTGGGATGCCTTTGGTTCTACTATCAATTGGAAATACATATAAATGCTCAATAAAAAGAAGTATAAACCTGCCTTTTCCTTTTAACCAACAGAGATTGAGGTCTTATCTGTATGATGGTGGGACTAGGGAACAGTCGCCGCGGGATGAAGTCTCCACCTCTTCTGGTAGCAGCACTAGTGGCCTGCATAATTGTTCTGGGATTCAATTACTGGATTGCAAGTTCCCGGAGTGTTGATTTACAGGTATTGCTAACTGTTGGTTTTCAAGCTGACTGAACTGGCAAAGTGTGTTTTTCTCTCATTGTTTCAGTCTAACAGGTAATACTTCAAGTACAAAAAAACATCCTTTCAGATCTGTGCACCTGACAGATAGTTGAATGTTAGCCATGAGAACAAACAGGAAGATGGAAGAAAATTACCTGTGAGAAGACTATAGCTGAAATAAGTAATACTGCATGCCTCTGTAGCTTATGCAATCACTTTTCTGTTTGTTTCTGAGTCTATGCTCATGCACTAATACCTGCATGCAGAAACAGACCTAGTGCGAAAGCTAGACCTGTCTGTTTTAATCAGTACAGAAGGCCCCTGAGTTATAAACATCCACTAATACAGAGTTAATGGTATAGTATGGGGTATAGTGGAGCCCCTAGTGCCGTAGTGGATTAAACCGCTGAGCTGATGAACTTGCTGATCGAAAGGTCGCAGGTTCAAATCCGGGGAGTGGCGTGGGCTCCCGCTGTTAGCCCCAGCTTCTGCCAATCTAGCAGTTCAAAAACATGCAAATGTGAGTAGATCAATAGGTACTGCTCCGGCGGGAAGGTAATGGTGTTCCATGCAGTCATGCCAGCCACATGATCTTGGAGGTGTCTACGGACAACGCCAGCTCTTCGGCTTAGAAATGGAGGTGAGCACCAACTCCCAGATTCAGACACGACTGGATTTAATGGGTATAGTATTAGCTAGGCCTATTTTTAATAGTATCAAGCAAGGAAAAATCACATTTATCCAACACCTACAGTCCCCATGGGTGAGTTTGACTGAGTTACAAACATCTGACTTAAAAATGACTCATAGTTAAGAATGGGGGTGAGACAACAGGAAGTGAGAGAAATCTACTGCTTGGAAGGGAAAATTACTCCTGAAAGAATTATTTTGAGGAAACGGTATCTCAACTGAAGCTTTCTCACCAATCCATAACAAGCCAATTTTTTTCAAAATCCAGTTGTCAATAGGGGCAGATAGTGAGGTGAAATCTTCTTAACAGGACACAGATAGCCAAACAAAAACCACAGGGGTGTTAACCCCTAGGCTAGCCAAAGCTAACCAATATATATTTTGGCTGGAGTTACGCTTAAAAATGTACCTGTTCCGACTTACAAACAAATTCAACTTAAGAACAAACTTGCAGACCCTGTCTTGTTCTTAACTTGGGAACTGTCTGTATATGAAGATTGTGCTCCAATTTCCCGGATGCAGTAGAGAAAATTGATTTTTCTCTACTGCATTTTTATTAATGTCTGCTGCATTATTATTACCAGTGATATATTCTTCTCCATCTGCTGCCCATTTTCTCAAGTTCTGCGATATCACAGCAATTCACAGCAGAGAGGACTCCCCAGTAACTGGTTTTGCGTGTATACATTTTTATACTAATCGTATCTGTCTGTCTATTTCTGTATTTCTTTGTTTGTTTGTCTGTCTATCTGCATGCCATTTCCTTGTCCAGATAGAGAAACACTTTCTTTAAGGACAGAATAAGAAATAACATTCTGATTACAGATATTATGCAGGCAGGCTTTTTAAAGACTCTCTCCCCCCCTTAATTTTTGCACCTGCTGTTTCACAGAATCGTATAATGGAATTAGAAAGCAGAGTCCGCAGGGCAGCAGCGGAAAGAGGTGCTGTGGAACTGAAAAAGAATGAATTCCAGGGGGAGCTTCAGAAGCAGAGGGAGCAGATTGACAAAATCCAGTCTATACATAATTTCCAAATGGAAAGTACCAACAAAATCCACAGGGATGAGAAGGTAGGGGAGATATCTCTCTTTTAACTTTACTCTGACCATCACAATATGATTTTTTATTAACAAATAAACATTAAGTTTATTTAATTTACTGAATTATTGACACTGTCTCTGTTCTAGAATAATAAAAAAGAGTCTTGCTCATTGAGAATAAGGGAACTTTAACACATATAAGCATGGATTTAGTTCTGGAATGATAAACATTCCGCTTCTTGGGAGGTTGGGGAAATAGAAGAAGAAAGTACTCGACTGATTTAGTGTGAAAATGGTTCAGGGGACTGTGACAGTAACAAAATTTGCCATCCACATTGCAAAGATTTTGCAGTGATCGCACTTCTGGTGAACTAATCCACATCTTTACCCTCATTTTGTCCCATTTCTTCCTTTTCTCTGAAAAAGGGTGAGACAAGCATTGTGAAAGGAAAGCAAAAGCAAAGTGCTTTTAGGATCAGAAGGCTTTTACATATACTTCCTGCCTACTATTTTGGGTAAAAAGATCTCCTCTCCCTCCTTGGCCAGATGTTTGAAGGATTTTTGTGTTTTAAAATGGCTGTTGTGCAGGCATGTAGCCGGGTTGGGGGGGAGGGCTTGAGGGGCTTAACCCCCCCCCCGAAATTCTCATGGTGGTCCGCGAAAAGGCCTTACTGGTACATTATTTAAACTGTTATGTTTATTCATATCATGATCTGATCACCATGCTCAATATATCCCATATTCATGGGGGTATTGGGGTAACGATACAAAAGGTTTGCTAGGGTAGACCCTCTTTCACTCAGACTCAGCCCCCCTCCCCCCCGAATCAAAATCCTGGCTACGGACCTGCTGTTGTGTGATTTTGGCCAAAAGAAACCAGGGTTGAATGTTTTGAATGCAGAGATGAACGGAGGAAGATATTGTTGCAAACAGACATTGAAATCTTGGAGATTACTATGAACATCCATTCTTGTATACACAGAAGACATCAAGATACCCTAATGTGGAAACATTCCCCAACTGATTTATGTGATCATCCATCTTGTGATATACTTCTGGTTCTTTTGAATTTTCTTCTAATTTTCTTTCTAATGGCAACCCTTTGTGCTTGGCTATGAGAGGAACTAGAAAAATGGTATGGGCCAACAGCATAAATACATTTATTGGTCGTATCACCCTTCCTAGCTTTGGAGCCAAAGGAGTTATCCTACATATGGATATCACCTTTCCTGCAGACAAGAATAGTTTTTAAATTGTCTGTCTGTCTGTCTGTCTGTCTGTCTATCTATCTATCTATCTATCTATCTATCTATCTATCTATCTATCTATCTATCTATTCTAAAGGAGAAGATATTTCCAAAGGCAATGAAAATAGAAAGTCCTGGAATAGATTATTTATACGGAATTTAACAAGGCTACGATTGGATTTTTATAGTCTCATTTACTATCCTGTTAATGGATAAAGTAGATCTAGCATACTATGAAATTCAAATCAAAGAAGCATGTTCACAATGGAAATCTGGGACAAGTTCACCTGTTGTTGTTTATTCGTTCAGTTGTTTCCAACTCTTCATGACCTCATGGACCAGCCCATGCCAGAGCTCCCTGTCGGCCATCACCACCCCCAGCTCCTTCAGGGTCAAGCCAGTCATTTCAAGGATCCCATCCATCCATGCCCTTGTTCGGCCCCTCTTCCTTTTTCCTTCCATTTTCCCCAGCATCATTATCTTCTCCAAGCTTTCCTGTCTTCTCATGATGTGGCCAAAGTACTTCATCTTTGCCTCTAATATCCTTCCCTCCAGTGAGCAGTCGGGCTTTATTTCCTGAAGTATGGACTGGTTGGATCTTCTCGTGGTCCAAGGCACTCTCAGAATTTCAAGTTCACCTAATTACTAAAAATTGAAAATGAATACTCTCTGCCATTCCTGAATCACAGGATATCAAATGGTACTTTTTAAAAAGCAGATTCAACCTTTAAAACCCTTAGAGCAGAATTACTGATTATTTTGTTTTAGACTGAGGCTATGAACGAGGCTATGACTCAGGTGGGTTTTGGTTCTCTGAGTTTTAGACTCTACCTTGAGTAGATTTCCTGGATGACTTAGGACTTGCCATTCTTTCTTAGTGATAATTTCATGTCTGCAAACTGAGAATGAAGATGACCTGTTTTGGAAGGTGATTGAGATAATGAATGAAGAAAGAATTCTGAATCAATCTAAAAAACAAAGTTAGCAGTGAGATCTGTTATTTCTAAAGATGTTCAGAAAGGACCTGTTGCCCAAAGATTAGTAAAAGCAATGTGCATCTATTTATGAATCTATGGTAATTGTCTTGTACTAACTGTTTCTGAAAAAAAAGGTTCCATTTTAGGTACCAGTATGATTTTATTCAGTTTCTAATTAAAGATAAACCACTCTAAACTAGGGTTTATTTTAATTCCAGCTTGTTATATTTTACTACCAAGACTGAGAGGTGCTAGTAGAATTTTCTTTTCAAAATGCCAGAATCACAGGACCGATCATTTCTTAGATAGTGACTTGGGGTAGGGAGCATTTTCTGTTTACTTCTGGTTGGAAAATGTCTTGGGCCACCTCTGCCTGGCAGCACTAATTTTCTTTCTTATTATGTAGGCCTTGTTAAACAAATGTTGTTTTTGATTTATTTTGATGTTTTGTGGCATATTTTGCCTATTTAAATAAAGTGATTTAAGCTTGTGAAAATGTGGCCTTCCAAGTGTTTTAAACAAAAATTGAGTTATATAACAGCACAAATAATAGAGCTGGCAGGACTGAAGACCGACAGGTCGGAGGTTTGAATCCGGGGAGAGTGCGAATGAGCTCCTTCTGTCAGCTCTGGTTCTCCATGTGGGGACATGAGAGAAGCTTCCCACAAGGATGGTAAAACATCAAAAACATCCAGGTGTCCCCTGGGCAACGTCCTTGCAGGCGGCCAATTCTCTCACTCCAGAAGCGACTTGCAGTTTCTCAAGTTGCTTCTGACATGATAAAAAGCACAAATAATAAGTCATGAAAGTTACTGGATAAATCAGGAAAGTACCACAGGTAATGTTGGATTGGCAACAGAATGCAAAATAATATACTGTAACCGTCAGATTGTAATGTAATATGTAGTGTGTGTAAACGATTGCTATTCTTGATATTGTTTCATACAGCTTTTTCATTATTTTTAAGAAGTAGAATGCACGTGGCTGTTTTTGGAGATACCTTGAAATGTTTTAAATTATAGATGGTTATTGTTGTTGTTCTGATAATTCAGTCACTGAACCCCATATTTATTATTCTACATTACTGAGATGTTTTAAAGAAAAAGAAAAATAGTTTCTATAACTTTCAGCAATCTAGGTATTGATCAGACAAACATCCATTTTGAATTTCCTTCTTCTTGTTCGATATGCCCTTAATTTTTTTCTACAGCCAATTTATAAGAATGTAACTTTATCCAAGAGGTATTGTTTTGTCTTTTCATTAGTCTAAAACATTTACTCCTTGCACTGTTTTAGGATTTTCATAGATAGATAGATAGATAGATAGATACATAGATAGATAGATAGATAGATAGATAGATAGATAGATAGATATGCTACTGATATTAACATCTTTGTAATTTCTCAAGAGTCATATAGAATTAAAAGTGCTGCTCGTCACCACGGGTAACTCTGTCCTGGGGCCCATTCATACTCTGAGAGTTTGCCACATATATTGCTCATGTGATTTTCAGTTGTCATGCTTACTGCAGGAACTCACTGCAAAAATTAAATACCGGTATGTTCAGGGCATTATTTTTATAGCTGACATCTAGTTCTATATTTGCACAATAGACTAGCACAGCCTAAATCATGAATTCTTACACACTGGTTCTGACATATATGTGCTATTTACACACAGTGAAGTAGTTTATATATTGTCTAGGCAACTCTACACAGATGTTTATTCCCCAGGAAATTTCTAGCTAGAAATATTGTTCCATCTGCCCACCAGCTGGGGCAAGATATTTTCTGCACAGCAAGTGATAGTTCTGCTTTGTGATCAGACATCTGAGCACCAATTATAATGAAGGAATCTATTTTTTTCTTTTAAATGAACAAAGGCTTGCTTCAGAATGTGTCCTTTTTATGTAAAGGACAAAACAAAAGGAGCTAATACAATATCTCTTCGGTATTTCCCCTTTCACCGCGTTCATTTTATCTAGGTTTTACTACATTCATTTTATTAGGAAAAAGGCCAAAATATTTTTGTAGATTGTGTTACATTTATTTATGCGGAATGTTTAATCATCACATAGAACTTTTAATAAATGATTAAAACCAAAGTTTGGAGAAAAAGGCTGAATGTTTAAGTACAAAGATTAAATATATACATTTATTTAGTTGAAATTGATACTGTGATAAAAAGTGGACTAAGATAATTTTTTGAATTATTAATAGTAGACTAAAGTATTACTGAAAACCATTTCAATTGTCCATGTTATATCCATACTTGTACTGTTTTACCCTGTGGTACTTCTTCCTATATCACTTGGGGCTTAATTCAAAAGAAATTTAGTTTTGATATCTTCAAAATTTGCTCAGGATTTAAGGTATTATTTTGCTAGAAATTATTATTTTTATTATTATTTTACTGACACAAAAACACAGTATGTCACAGCAAACAACATATATATGCTGGATTTCGTATCACAAAATCACAAGTCCAACACTTCCCAAGCGTCTCGGGCTGTGTGATGTATTTTTGAATGATGCGCGCAGATCCAAGTAAGGTGGCCTTTTGCAGTTGACAGATCATGATTTTGTCAATGTTTGTTGTTTCTAAATGCCGGCTGAGATCTTTTGGTACAGCACCCAGTGTGCCAATGACCACTGGGACCATCTGTACAGTTTATGCCAGAGCCTTTGCAGTTTGATTTTGAGGTCTTGATAATGGCTGCTTTTTCCTGTTGTTGTTGTTGTTTATTACCTGTGGCTTAAGGTGGGGTGCAACATAGTTAACACACCGAGGTAGAACAAAACACTATTTCAATGTTTGCCGTATATATGTTGTGCTCCGCCCTGAGTCCCCTTCAGGGTGAGAAGGGCAGAATATAAATGTTTTAAATAAATTTAAATAAAATATTCAAATAAATAAATAAATCCACACAGGTTAAAACTCAAAAGTTAAAATTGACATGCATTCATGTTTGTGTATTAATACTGTTGAGCATGTGGCCAAACTAATTTTTCTCTCCCCCACCCCCTTTTTTTTTGCCTTCCTGCAAAATTATATTAAAAAATTGTTTTCCCTTTTTGGAGGATTGGCTCCAAATGGGGATAATACAGAAAGTAGATATAAAGTTTTGGAATTGGATGCTGACTTACGGCCCATCCCTGTGCTCCATGATGTGAGGGAAACAGGATGATGTTTGACTTTATCGTTTTTCGTTGCCATAGTGGCAGCTCTGGAGAGCTCCTGCAGTCACTCAGTGCCTTTGCTGATGTCCAAAAGGAAGACTGCAACTTGAAAAGGGGAGAGGGATTGCCCCTCCTTTCCCCTTTCCCTCTCCAAGTTCTGTGGATGCTTTTGCTGACATTGTCAAAGGTGCCAAGCAATGGCCAGGGGCCAACACTACAGCAAGGAAAAACAACAAAAGAAGGTTTGGCTTGGTTGGACAGTGTAGACTTTGCTTCCGCTGCTAACACAGCTGGGGAGTGGGATGGTATAAGCACTATGACAGTATCCCAAGCTTGTTCAAAACAGCAACGCTTTGGACCAGCCCCGAATTTTGTGGCTTGTATAAACAGGTCTTAGCCAGACCTATTGAAATCGGCAGAACTTCAGATTAAAAAGGTAAAGGTTCTAATTGTGTCCAACTCTGTGGAGTGGGGCTCAATCTCCATTTCTATGCCAAAGAGCCGGTGTTGTCCGTAGACACCTCCAAGGTCATGTGGCTGGCATGACTGCATGGAGCACTGTTACCTTCCCGCCAGAGCTGTACCTGTTGATCTACTCACATTTGCATGTTTTTGAACTGCTAGGTTGGCAGAAGCTGGGGTTAACGGTGGGAGTTCACCCGCTCCCCGAATTTGAACTGCCGACCTTTCGTTCAGCAAGTTCCGCAGCTCAGCGATATATGCCTAAATTAAATCCCATTTATTTAAGTTGAGTAAGCCTGTATACAAATACTGGGAATAGTTACCATACTTAATTTTGTTTTTGTTTCTTTCAGGCAATGCTACTGAATAATATCACAGTAAGTGATAGATTGATCCAGAATCTTAAAGGTAAAACTCTGTAAATTAATTACATATATGTTTGCTATATTAAGCCATTACATATGTATTAATAGAATGCTTATATTGCAGCCTAGTAAGGAAATGGTGGCAGGATCCTTTTATTTTATTTTAAAATGAAATAAACATGGTGGGGCTTGACTTAAAATTATAATGCAGAGAAAACAGTTTTTAAATTCTTAATAGACCACTCTTTCACATGCTGTAATGCATCATGGAAGTTACTTCCTCCAAACTGCAATTTACCACCTTATAGAAAAATACAGACAGGAGTTGAGGGTAAGTTGGGGTGGTATATTCATGGAAAACCTTGTGTGGTAGAAGAGTTAACCCTGCCACACCATTTTCCCAATCCAAATTATTTTTGCCTTTTTTGAAACTCACAAAAAGATTAGTGATCAAATATTTCAGCTAATTTGACTTTTAGTTCAGTTCTAATATTGTGATTAAAATGTGTCAAAGTGGTATACAATTAACTAACTAAATAAATAGGGATTCTTCTGTAATTGGAAACCTAGGTGCTGATTACTACAACTAGTTAGACACCTCCTAATTTACAAATAAACTAATGTGTGAAAGATTTAAACCAGGGTTGGATTAATGTGGCCTTCCAGATGTTGTTGGGCACAACTTTCAGCAGCCCTAGACAGCATGGTCAGTGTTTGAAGGGTGTTGGGGATTATTGTCCAACAACATGTGGAGGCCTACAGGGTTCTCCTCTGTACCATATAGCTGGCATCCTATATCACAGTTATGGATTTATAACTGGGAATTATGGATCTGTAACTAGTTTGTTTTTTAACTATGTTACACATTCACAGTTGTGATATTATTACAACAAGCCTAATTGCCACCTGAAGCCCATCAGACACAGATCAGTGGCATGGTTGAATGGGCACTTTAGGATAGGATACTGTGGCCATGCTTCAAGCTTTGGTGCAGTGAGAGAAGGGGCTGGCTGCATCATCTTGAAGTTCAAATGCTCCACAGACCTCTGTTGCTTGGAGTGGATATCAGGAGTTTCAGGAGGACTTTTGGGGTTGATTCCTTTAGTGGTTATGTTTACTTAACACAAATGTTGCAGGATTTCTGTCTACATTTTTTATTGCTGGAAGTATTGTATTTGGAAGCTATTTTCACAGATTCCTGCTGCCAGGAAGATAATTTATCAACCTGCCTCTGCAGAGTTCAATTTATTTATCTGTATCAAACAGTTCCACAAGAAGGTAATAGAATCACCAATATACCTTTTAAGTTTTTGCCTAAGACTCTAATGAATACTACGACAGTATACTTTGAATAGTAGAAGAATATAGAAATTTCTTTCTATCACTTCCCTTCCTGGTCTTATTTGGCTCTTTCCTCATGAGCTATGTGATTTTAAGTTTCTTAAATTTCAGTTGTGTTTCTAAGGTCCCTTCTCCACTGTCATATAAAATCCAGATTATTTACTTTGAACTGGATTATATTGCAGTGTAGACCCATAATCCAGTTCAAAACAGATAATATGAATTATCTGTTTTGATAATCTGGTTTATATGACAGTTCAGAAGGGGCCTAAGACTGTAGTCCTAAACACAAGTGCTGGTATTCTGCCTAAGCGATCATGACAAGACTTAGGTTTGAATACAAATACGTCATGTTGTTCTGTATACATCACATTGATGATTAGGAAGAAAAAGGTTTAATCTTGGGCAAAAATCATTCATAATATCACCATAAGTTGAAGTTGCATGAGAGCAGTTAACAACAACTGCTGGATGAAACAAGTAAGCAAATGTCCCATCTGTCCTAAATGACCCATATGCATACATTTTCATACATTTATGTCTGCTATATCTTGTTTTTTCTTCTTTCTATTCAGAACAACTGGAAGACCTGCATCAGGAATATGGAAAGCTCCAAATTGATATATACAAGTTTCAGAAAAACCAAACTAATCTTCAGAGGAAATTTACATATGACATGTAAGTTTGTGCTACATGGCTACTGATATTATAGGCAAAGTGATCCTATTAAGCCAGACTTAAGCCTATCAAATTTATTCAGGTTCAGTAGGATGGAAAATCATATCTTAGTTTTATATGTAGTTACACGGGAATAAAATCTCAGTTTAAGTCTAACTTTTGACTTTGGCACTGAACCTCTTTGGCGCTTTACTAGCTGTGCAGAATTTTGTATACAAGCGTATGCACCTGAATGTCTGTATTCTGTGCTTTGATTCAGGTCTCAGTGTATTAGTCAGATGAAAGAACTGAAGGAACAGTGTGAAGAAAGGATAGCGGAAATCTCAAGAAAAGGAAATGGGGTGCCACAAGAAAAGGAGAAGAAAAACATTTCAAATGTATCAGAGAAAAATGATCATGTAAGTTTTAAAATTGAATTTTAGCAGGACGTCTTTTACATTTGCGGTAGCTAGACCATTCCAGTCCACTGTTAAAGCACTACATGAGGGTCAAAATCACCGATTATGAGAAATCTGGTCTTTGAGGTTTCCAATTTCTTTAATGTTATGCCTTCTTTGATGAACAGTGATAACATTCCTCATTCCTTCTGTGGAGTACCTATGCAGGGATGTCCATATCACAAGCGTTCTCATTATTCCACCAAAAGTTCCTTGTATATCCTATATTAGTGGTTCTCAATCTGTGGGTCCCCAGATGTTTTGGCCTTCAGTTCCCAGAAATCCTAATAGCTGGTAAACAGGCTGGGATTTCTGGGAGTTGTAGGCCAAAACACCTAGGGACCCACAGGTCGAGAACCACTGCCCTATATGCATGTTCTCCTTTAAAACCTCAAAGATTGCCCTGTCTTCGCTTGAAGACATCTGGCATTACAATATAAATACCGATCAATGGCTTTTCTGTCCAAATGTATCTGATGGGTATGCTTTTCCGAGTGACTCTTGACCTTTTTGTCTGTCATATATATATTACAATATGCTCATGGATTCTGCCTTACGCTGAGTCAGACCATTAGTCTGTCAAACGCAGTATTATTCTGACTGATTGTGGCTCTCCAGAGTTTTAAGCAGGATTCCTTCCAAAAACCTATTTGGAAATCTCTGGCATTACTTCAAGTTAAACAGATCTAACACTGCTTAGTTTCTGAAACAGTATGAAATTGCATGTGTTTGTGGTGGCATGTCTGTTGTTATAATCTTGTTAGCCTTCAGAATATCATCAGGTAACATTTTACTTCCAGCTTCTTCCTATTTCTACATTGTCTCCACTTAGACAATGAAAATGATACTCAAGAAGATTAAAGTCTGAATTAGACAGTCCCCAACCCTAGTCAGCTTTCAATCAAGGAACATTTAAAAAGCTGTTCTATAATTTTTTAATGTAAAGTATCTTGCATTTAGTTCCTTATTCCCTAAGGTCCTCATTCTGTGTGACTTCAGAGGAGCTGACACCCTGGAAATTGGGTGCCACTATCACATCCTGAAGGCCCTGTCCCCCAATTTCTGTGCCTTTCTCCATAGTTCCAAGTCATTGACCATGGTCTCAAGGAAATACATCTTCCAAAAGTCAGGAATTCCATTAATGGTTCATTGATGGTCCAAAATTATAGTCATTAACACCTGTTTGGTCTGTTTAACTAAAAAGGGAAAATGGCAGGGCAGGACATAGGTTGAAAGAGATATTTTTAAACTTGAAGGTTTTATAACACCTTAAACCAGTTGAGTGATTTTGGTGTGTCCCCTGAAGTAATTTCTGACTCACAGCAACTCTAAGGTGAACCTCTGACGGGGTTTCTTGATGAGATTTGTTCAGAGGAGATTTGCTGTTGCCTTCGAGTGAGGCTGAGAGAGTGTGACTTGCCCACGGTCACTCAGTGGGTTTCCTTGACCAGGGATTCAAACCCTGGTCTCCAAAATTGTACTTCAGTGGCCAAGCCACTATCCCAATACTGGCTCTTGATTAACCTCTTACTCTCAGCTTAATGAAAATTATTCAGGTTCAGTTGAAAACTATGCTGTTGGCAGACTTCCCCTTGCATTGCTGTTAAGAGTCTTTAGAGCAGTGGTTCTCAACCTGTGGGTCCCCAGGTGTTTTGGCCTACAATTCCCAGAAATCCCAGCCAGTTTACCAGCTGTTAGGATTTCTGGGAGTTGAAGGCCAAAACATTTGGGGACTCACAGGTTGAGAACCACTGCTTTAGAGTGAACAGTTTCTAGGATGCTGTAAGCAGTATTGCTGTTATTTCAGATGTTCCAATTTAACACTACGTAATGTATAAGAGCAAATTCATTTATTATTTTTGATTTTTAAAAAGTAATAACCATTATTGAATGTTTTTCCATTTCAAAACTATGGGAGAATTTCCACTAAACATCAGTTATTTGATTAGTGTGACTGCTTGTGTTATCTTTCGCATTCAAGTTTCTATAGTAAAAACTATAGAGCAGTTCCAAGCAAATAGATATTGTATTGTTGAAGGCTTTTATGGCCAGAATCACTGGGTAGTTGTAGGTTTTTCGGGCTATATGGCCATGTTCTAGAAGCATGTTTTTGGTTGTTTGAGTGACTTTTTATTATGAATATAAATGAAATTGTTTCATGTTGTAACTCTTCCAATCCAGCTAATAATTACACAGAAGAACCATGATTGAACCTTCTGATGAATCAGTCTTGTAAAATCAACCCTTAGGAGGAGAATGTCTGCTCTTCTCTTCCTTTGATACTGAAGAATTAACTCTCTTTTCTCTGCTTTATACTAACAGTGGAGGGGAAAAAATTGAGAGAGATACTCATATTGCCTATCTTCTCTTAGTGACTAATGCAAGCTCCAGGCTTTATATCTGATCATATTGTGTTGTTTTGCATGCTTTCTTTTTGTCTAGAGAAGGAAAACCTTTGAAGATCCTTTGTAAGAGCTTCCTGATGACCAAGAGCCATACTAATTTTTGAAACTAAGTATTTGAATGTAGGGATTTCCTTCTGTTCTCTTCACCAGTGTTACTTCTTTATGTATGTTTTGCTTTTAGACCAATCTCTCAAGGACAAAAGAAGGGAAAAATCAAAAGGCCAGGAAAAATACTTAGGATTACAGCTCTATTAATTGCTGTGTAGATTGTTTTGAGAAGGTGAAAATAAAAAACTTCTCTTTGGTAGAGAGTTATTAGTATTTCCTTTTCAGAAATGATCAAAGTGCTGATTAGTTTACTTAGAAAAGCTTTCTGAGCCAGGATATTTATTAAAGGCATAGGGTTTTTGAGGCTAAACTATATTGTTTAATATTATCTTTAAAAGGGAAAAGCTAAATGCTTTATGTTTTAAATTTACCACGAGTTTTACAAATATCAACTCTCATGTGGATTCACAGAGTGATATTAAAGCTACATGTTATTAAGCATATTTTTTCCAATGTGGGAGTAATACATTACAGGATCTAGAAAGATCCAAATTGTGAAAATTACCATAATTTTTTTTTAAAAAAATGTATAAGGTGTTGTAGCTCTTTCAGATCTCCTATGGGTGGGAGTTCCACAATCCTTGAGCAACCACTAAGATGACTTTCTCCTGCGTCATCACCAAATATGCCTAATGGGTCTGGAGGAAAAGATTTTCCCCTGAAGATATTAAAATCCAGGCACTTATATAGGGAGATACAGTTTTTCAAATAGTGTGAACCCAGCTTTTTACAGCTTTCAAAGTCATAACTTGGACTTCGAATTTGTCCTTGAAACTGACTGTTATGAGGACCAGTGTATTACTGTATGTAATGTGCCATGAAACAATTATCTTTGCTCATGTCTCTGTGCATTATTGTCCATTAGCAGTGATGTGAATCAGATCCCAGCATATTACAAATGGTGGCAAACTATCATTACTATCTATCTTTCCAAATAGTAATGAACACTTGCTTCATAAAATTCTTATATCTATTTTATTATGATTCTTTCTCTGGGAGGATTTCTTTTGAATGTATCCTATTTCATCGCATAATAGGAATTATCGCATAATAGTCACACCCTGCTTTTGGGAAAGGCAAAATTTATATTTTATTATCCTCGGCTAGAATAATTATGGCTTGTCAATAGAAGTGTACTGAGGAAGTGGGTCTTCTTAGATCATGGGAAAGGGTTTGGGATCCGGGATTAAACAAAATATTAATATCTGAGGGTAAAGTTCTTAGAATAGAATCTAGATCTGAGAAATTTGTTGAAATACGCAATCATTCATTGCTTTTATCTAATTTAAGTAAAGGTAGAGTTTCCCCTTGACATTAAGTCTGGTCGTGTCCAACTCTGGGGGTTGGAGCTCATCTCCATTTCTGAGCTGAAGAGGCGGTGTTGTCCATAGACACCTCCAAGGTCATGTGGCCACCATGACTGCATGGAGCCTTCCCACAGAAGCGGTTCCTATTGATCTACTCACATTTGCATGTTTTCGAACTGCTAGGTTAGCAGAAGCTGGAGCTAACAGCAGGAATTCACCCTGCTCCCCGGATTTGAACTGCCAACCTTTTGATCAACAAGTTTAACCCGGTGCACCACCAGGGGCCCCTAATCTAATTTATCTAATTTGTAAACAATATATTTAACATTCTGAGACTTCCCTGGTTTCGGCAGAAGGTCTGAAAAATTTCTTATGGGATCTCTGATGTTTTACTTTTGGGAAAGTGAAGATTCAGGATTATTCACCGGAAAAAAAAATGTTGATTGTAATGAAAAAATGATTCTGTCTTTGGGAGGATTTCTTTTGAATATATCCTGTTTTGTCATATAATAGTCATTATCGCGTAATAATCGCACCCTGCTTTTGGAGAAGGCAAAACTTATATTTTGCCTCTCGCTGCATCATAGTCTCACCCTTAGTTCACTTTCCCCGTGTGAGTGAATTAAGGGTGCAACTGCCCTTGGCTCTGTGGGGCTTGACTTGACTGGGAAGGGGGGCAGGCAGGCAGCGGATTGAGCTCATCTGCCTGCTCACCCATCTATGGCTACAGAGCCTTGCCTTGCTTCAGCAAACCCCCCCCCCCCCGCCTTTTCCTTCCTAGCTATGCTTTGAGAGAAGAGCACAGCTGCACCTTCAAAGGGATGGTTATGTGGTTTAAAAAAGCTTGTTTCAAAGGGGGAATTTTTCATCACATTATAGTTTCMCCCCCTCCCCCCCCCATTTTTTTTGGAGGGGGAGTATGWCTGATATCTGATGCAATAAGTTAATCTGTTTGGTGTATTCTTCTTCATCTTTCTATGTTTACCTTCTGGTGGTATAGGTATAGGAAGTAAACATTTTTTTTCAAAAGAATTTATCACTGTCTTTGGCTGTGGTTTTCTTTCCACCACGTTGACCATGACTGTCCAGCATAACTGTAAGCAGACATATTGATGCAGTCCATAATTCCAACAAGCAGTCTTAATTTTCAAACAACAACTGGTAATGCAAAAGGCCTGCCCTTGTATTTCATTGTAGTATTTAGTTCTGCCATATCACTTTATTCTGTTTGATATTTTAAAAAATAAATAAAAAAGAAATATTTTTAGGATATTTGTTTGTATTAATAATTCATGTGCATGTGGTATTGCTGTTGGTTATTTTCCAGGTGCCAATGTTTAGACAGCCAGAGTTTCAGCATCGTGATTTAACAAAACAAGGAAATGAACCTGAAGACAAAAGTCGCAATTCTGAGAATTCTTTGATATTAGAAGCATCAAAGCCAGCATTCGCTGGAAATAATGTGCCAGAACTGGATGATCATAGACAAAAAGGTACGAATATATCAACAAAGATCATGAGTGCTTTCGGATTTTGTTTTCGGAAATTAATAGGGAATATGGAGCTATGTTGCACGAGCCAGATTTTCATTGAGTTGTAGCATGATTTCCAAAATGTTGGCATCTAATTATTACCAAATTATTTGTTCTCAAACTTGATTTGTTATAAAATCCATTTAGTGGAAAGGGAAAGACAACAGAGAAACATTTGGCTATGTCTCAATATTCAACTGGCAACTCTGAGGAGTAATGAGACATAGTTGTACTTGCTGAATTTGTTATTCTACATCTCCACATTGAAGTACCTGCACTAAGATCCCTTATTTTGAATGAACATGTTTCCTAACATAACATTGGGACTTGGGCAGAAGTTCAACTGATTTGGCAGATTCCAGCTATTTGTCCATTGGGTTTTGTTCCTACCTGAGGGTGAATACCAGGGTGAGTTCTAGTCAAGGAAGGAGAAACTTGATTCCTGATGATTTTCTCCTCTGAGCATCAGCTCTCATACAGTGTCATATGGCTAGATGGAAATGGCACCCAAGGAAGAAGTGTACTTGCAGAAGTTGACTTCTTCTCTGCCAGTAAGATCCTCCAGTAGTTCAAAGTGGACACAAGGAGGTTTTCCGTATGTGGAAGGTGACATTTGTACACAACTAATTTCCTTCACAGCTCTCAGGTCCTGCAATTAACAAGACTAGAAGTGTAATTCTTATCTAGATTCTGATGTGGTATTTTCATGATCTGAAGGAGAATTGGGTGAGCCTTCTGCTCCTGTAATTTGTGAAAGGTATATGATAACAGCTGTGGCGGGGATAATGGAAGAGGCAGTGCAATGCTTTTTGATCATATTTGGCTTGTGGAGTGGTTCCCAACCATGGGTCTTCCAGGTGTTTTGGGCTTCAACTCCCAGAAATCCCAGCCAGTTTAATAGCTGTTATTAATTGTGAAAGTTGAAGTCCAAAACACCTGGAGAACCAAAGGTTGGGAAACACTCGGCTAGTGGGACCTATTCTTTTTCAGTTGTTTCCTGTATTGAGATTTTGAAAGAAGTTTCCATTGGGTACTTTTTGTGGTACCTTTGCCATCATCTAGTGGTGCAAGGTGTGGTTGGTTTGGTTAAGTCAATTGTATTGCATCAGTATCATTTGTGTAAAGGTACATTGATCTAGTAGCCTGTATGTGTATATATTTTCTAATATGATCAGTCTCTGCCTCAGAACATGTTATTTCTGAGTAATGTATAAAGGAATGCTCATATTGCTTACACAATTTGAGGGCAAGCCATGCTAGGGAATCTGTGGCCCTCTAAAAGTAGTTGGATCTTTAATCCCATCTGTTCTTTCCAGCCTAGGTGCTGATAAGGGTCTGGAGAAGAAGCCCTATGAGGAGCGGCTTAAAGAGCTGGGCATGTTTAGCTTGAAGAAGAGAAGGCTGAGAGGAGTGTGGTGGAGGAGTGTGGTGGAGGCTCCTTCTTTGGAGGCTTTTTAAACAGAGGCTGAATGGCCATCTGTCGGGGGTGCTTTGAATGTGATTTTCTTGCTTCTTGGCAGAGGATTGGACTGGATGGCCCATAAGGTCTCTTCCAACTCTATAATTCTATGAGGGGTTGTGAGGGTATTTATTCATCTTCTTTAGGATAGCTTGTTCTGCATCTGTAGAGTAGAATATGTAAGACTGAGTCTTTTCACCTGTCTTGTCACATTTCCTTTACTATTCTGTGTTCTACACAAGCCTGTTAATCTAGAGCAGGGCTTCTTAAACGGTGGGTCCTGACCCCAAATGGGGTCCGCTTAGCTCCATGTTGGGGCCCTAAAAATTGGCAACATTAAAAGACTTCAGAACACCACCCATTTACACCAATGATTACAATGTTTATGTTTGCTACCACCATTATTAAGATTAATTCTAACTTGTGGGTTTTATGATGGCTTACAGGAGGAACTAATGATGATATTGCTACTGCCAAAGAGGAACTTCCGAAAGAAATATTTCCTGTTAACCAAGATCACCCACAAATACCTGCAAAGCCCAGCTTAGGTAGTAAAGAGCTGACCCCTGAACCAGGAATGCATCAAAACCCATATGAGAATGTAAGAGATGTCAATGGAGAAGATGCAGTTGAAAGGCAGACTGACAGGCAGTCAGAAACCGTGAGCCATCAAAATATCATTGAAGCCAAAGCAGACGATGAAGAAGTTGAACGAGAACAGCTCTTGAATGATGATCTGCAGCAGGATGACCAGGAGCCCAGTAAAGATGGTTGGTACAAACTCTCCTTCACTCTTTATGGGTCCATTACCAAATTGGGGTTTAAGAATCATTGTTGAACACGTGAAATACAGCTTTAGCTGTATTTCTGGTGATGAAAATGGTATGCCGATATTGATGAATGTTTTGGATCTGACATTCAGTGTTGAACAGACTCCCTTTCCTATGTGAAATAGTGATTGTCAACAAGGGAGAAAACTGCAAAACATTTATTTTCCTGTGATTTATTTACTTACTTTATTTTTATTTCACCTTTCTCCCAATATAGGGATTCAATGTGGCTAACAACAAATATCACACAATATCACACAATGCAAATTAAAACAATGTAAACAAATTAAAACATGCATGTAAAAATATTTTGTTACTACCTTTTCTGACTTTTGCTACACAGAAAGATTGTTCCTCAAGTAGGAATTATGGAAATCTAGAATGTGTCCAGAGGGGGCGACTAAAATGATCAAGGGTCTGGAGAAAAAGCCTTATGAGGAGTAGCTTAAAGAGCTGGGCATGTTTAACTTGAAGAAGAGAAGGCTGAGAGGAGACATGATAGTCATGTATAAATATGTAAGAGGAAGTCATAGGAAGGAGGGAGCAAGCTTGTTTTCTGCTACCCTGGAGACTAGGATGCAGAACAATGGCTTCAAACTACAAGAAAGGAGATTATACCTGAACATGAGGAAGAACTTTGTGAGAGCTATTCAGCAGCGGAACTCTCTGCCCCGGTGTGTGGTGGAGGTTCCTTCTTTGGAGGTTTTTAAACAGAGGCCATCTGTCGGGGGTGCTTTGTTTGAATGCAATGTTCCTGCTTCTTGGCAGGGAGTTGGACTGGATGGCCCATGAGGTCTCTTCCAACTCTATGATTCTATGATTTCTGCTAGGCTACCATTGCTGCATTAGTGGTGCTTGTTTTCCAGAGTGCAATTGTTTTAGGGTAAAAGGGAACATTTCTGCTTTAAAAATATTAATAGGATTTTTTTCTCTCAATTTATTTAATCTAATTGCAGAAAAAGATTCAGGTATTTTAACATGCCGGTATTTCAAATTACTATTTAAAATGCCAGAATGTTATAAGAGGGTGGCCTCCAAAGTAGAGATGCATCAAGATACTAATTGTACTTTTATTTGTGTCAGGAGCGACTTGAGAAACTGTAAGTCGCCTCTGGTGTGAGAGAATTGGCTGTCTGCAAGGATGTTGTCCAGGGGATGCCCAGGTGTTTGATGTTTTACTATCCTTGTGGGAGGCTTCTCTCATGTCCCTTCATGGGGAGCTGGAGCTGACAGAGGGAGCTCAACCCACTCTTCCAGGATTCAACCTGCTGACATCTAGGTCATCAGTCCTGCCGACACAAGAGTTTAATCGATTGCACCACTGGGGTCTATATTAATTGTACATGTCTTTGCAGGTGAATTTGGAATCCAAAGGGTAAACCAGGATGTCAAAAGAGTAGACTACAACTTAGATGTGAATGAGGCAGAATCTGAGACAGATAAGCAGGCTGCTCTTGTTGACCAGCAAAATAACTTAATTGGTAAGTTGCTACGTCATCCTTCCTGAATTGTCCCAGATCTTTCAGAACAGCATCAAAACTATATTGTTAAAGGCTTTCATGGCCGGAATCACTGGGTTGTTATAAGTTTTTCGGGCTGTATGGCCATGTTCTAGAAGCATTCTCTCCTGACATTTCACCTGCATCAATGGCAGTCATTTCCAGAGGTTGTGAGGAGAGAATGCTTCTAGAACATGGCCATACAGTCCGAAAAACCCACAACAACCCAGCATCAAAACTACTATGTAATATGATTTTATCTTGCTTTGGATTAGCTTGGTGTCTTTGGAAATACTTCTCTTCATGCTAAAGAAGGGAACTCTGTGAACTTAGCAGTATGGAAACAAACTGAAGAAAAAGCTTCAAAAGACTTGGCCTCGGTTGAAAGCACTGATTGTGTGTTGTGATCCAGATACAAGCATGATATCTGTTATGTGAACATTCTGTCATAGTTTTATGAGTTACTCTAACACTTCCAAAATAGAATTTCATTAAAATGTTTCTTTTTTTTTTCCAGTTCAGAATCATGATGATTCCAAACTGCAAAACGACTTGTTTAATCTTCAAGACCATCAACAGAAACTGTGAATGAGTTCAGTGTGTGACTTTTACAAAAACGACTACTACTGAACCATCTGATCAAGGCTTGAAATGTTCAACTCAAGTTGATGACCATTAGGTTATTTAAAACAGTTCTGACCTCTTTAATGGACTTCTGACTTGACTAGGCCATAGTACTGTTTCAGAAGCAGGAATTCTGTCTTTAAGGCATATGAAATTCTACTTGTTCTTCGGACGCCTCATCTAGTTTTCCTTCCTGAACTAGTGTGACAAAAAACAAAAACAAAAAACAAGATGCAATTTGTCTTGCCACTGTTGTGATGAAAGACGGTCGCTTTACAACTCCAGTCTCATATCTCTTTTTATGTTTTTTGTGGGTTCCTGCTTTTATAAACAAAGCAAACTTAGAGAATGACTTTATTTTGTATAGCAGTTTCCTCCAGAACAAACATATCTTAGAGCATTCTAGGGCTGTGTTCTGTTAAATGCCTTGCTTTGAGATAAATTTTATTTATTGTTGCGGGGCATGAATCAAAGTTAATATTTAATATTTATATAGCCTATTCAGAAGGGGCCTCCTGGTGGTGCAGTGGGTTAAACCGCTGAGCTCCTGAACTTGCTGACCAAAAGGTTAGAGATTCGAATCTGGGGAGCGGAATGAGCTCCTGCTGTTAGCCCCAGCTTCTGCCAACCTAGCAGTTCGAAAACATGGAAATGTGAGTAGATCAATAGGTACTGCTCTGGTGGGAATGCAACGGTGCTCCATGCAGTCATGCTGGCCACATGACCTAGGAGGCGTCTATGGACAACGCCGGCTCTTTGGTTTAGAAATGGAGATGAGCACTGCTCCCTGGACATGACTAGACTTAATGTTAAGGGGATACCTTTACCTATCCTATTCAGATAAAATGATCTCTGTCTTAAAGAGCAGTACCGGATAAGAATGGTAACTCCAAGTCATGGCCTCCTGGATTTCTGTCAAGTAGGTTAATAACAATATAGAATTTTCATGTACAGTAATTGCTGATCCTGTGACTATGATCTTGCCACCACTTAGATATACATGGAAAAAGAACCTATAAGGTTCTATGGAATTTCCTGCTTCTTATCACGTATCTTATTTAAGTGCTGAATGAATAGCTGTAATATTCTATTGAATTGTGGAAAGATCATGATGCTAAACTGGAACCAATAAAAATGTCACAGAATGAGTGCAATATAATAGATATGATAACAAGTTTGTTCTATAGGAGGGATGTTTCAAGTAATTACTTTAGTGGGCTTTTTTTTTCAAATTTAAGAGGTAAAATACCTTTTCCATTCTGTAGCTCATATTGGCTTGATTTTAATTATTTTAATAAAACTGAATCTAGTGTTCATAAAAGGAAAACCTATTTATTATAGGATCAAAGGTTAATTAATGGGTTTGCTAATCTGGTTTGTAGCATCGTATTTCCAATAAAATATTACACATAGCTTAAAACATCATACTATGTGTCTCTATATCAGTGGTTCCCAATCTGTGGTCCATGGACCACCAGTGGTCCCCAAGAACTAAATTATGGTCCACGGCCTCACCGTTACTACACTATTGTAACAAGACTGACTGGCCTTGCAAAACCCTCTTTGAAGTTGACTGTCCATGAAAAGCATGGCAACAAGCCTCCTGAGTGCTACTGCTTGGTGCCTTCATTTTTAGGTCCGTTCCTGGGGTTATTTGGGGTGCTGATTCAGAAAATTGCATTGGATAAACCACATCAGCTTTAGATGATTAAATATGGTTTTCTATGGGCGAGCAGATGGTGACTACTAGATGGCATATGTTCTGTATCAGAAACTAGAGCAAATGTGGTCTACCCAATGCAATTTTCTGAATCAGCACCCCAAATAACCAAACTGAATCTAAAGTTGACAAAAAACAGATTCATAACCCTTTTGGTACTAATGTTGGAGAGTGATCCCTGGTCAAGGTGGTCCCTAGTCAAAAAAAGGATTGGAACTACTACTCTATATTTTGGGTCTAAGTTACTTATACTAGAAATCCAAGCAGCCAAGCCATATTCTTTAAAGTACTTTCAAACTTCCTGTTTGTTTTTTGAATAGGTAACATCTTTACCTTAATAGAGTAGCTTAAAGATGTTCTGCTAATATTGAATGTTTAATTTGTTCTTATATTTCAGGTAAGTAAAAGAAAAACCCAAATTAATTGTGTCTCAAAGCAAATGTTAACACAATTCATAGAACATTTAGCAGAATACACAGAAAGAAATCAAAATGTAATCTCCCTATCATTGTAAACAGAAGTAAATACAAATCTCAACAATGAAATTCCACTTACATTTTCACTCAATATGTCTTATTTTCTTAACCTTACCAATCCCAATTCCACACATATCAACCACTTGTGTCCAGCAATTTTTTTCCTCCCCCTGCCCTTTCCCCCTTCTCCCCCTTCCCGCTTGGAACAGTTGTATCTTTGAGTATTATTTGACTTGATCAATTGTGACGAGAGTATGATTCAGTTCTTTATATTTTATTTTTCCTTTTACTCTAGCTACCAGAATTCCGAGTTTCGGGCCCTGGTTCTTCTTACAACAGCCTGTTGTGTATTTCATCCTCCTTTCAAAATATAATCCTGGAGCATAGTCTGCTAAATATTTAAATCATTTTTAATGTTCCCATTTTCCTGCTCTTTCCAGCCCAAAACTATGGTTGCTTGAGCCGTTTCTATCATATGTTTTATGGTGTCAGCCCATTTGTGTTGCCCTTGCCATCTATTTTATGAATAAAATAATGCCTCTTATTCAGATCTACTTAATAATAATTTATTTATTTGACTAGTCATATGACCATTTCAAAATATACCACGAGTAAAAGACAAGGCAAAAAGGAGAGGATAGCAGCTGACCTTTTTACAATCAGAGTCTTATTTTCCTGGGTCTTCTTTTAGGAAATGTGCTCTTTTCTTGATAGCTTTTAGGATAAAAAGGCTTACTCTGATTATGGTGGATCTTTCCTATCCTTGCAAAAGGAATGTCAAAAACTCATTTCTGTTGGGGGACCTGCAGTTGGATAATATTGGATGTAAATATCTGTATCGCAGTTCAGTATATGCTGGACAGTCAACCAAGAAATGTTCGATTTCTTCCACAATTTGTTTTCCTCATACGCAGAATTTCTCACTTCTTGGGATGTTACAGTGACGCCCAGTTTGCATCATAATACCGAGTTGTTCAAACCTAGCCCTAGTATATATTCTTCTTAAGGGTAATGGAAGTAGAATAATCAGTGTTCTAAATGAACATTCCTTTTGTGGGAAGCTAAAATCCTTGTGGCAGAAGACCAACCTATGCTTGCTAGGTCCAATTGAGCAGAGATATCTCAAGTGCGTTGCATGAGCACTTGTTTTGCCTTAGGTCCTAGATTGTTCAGAAATTGTATTCAGCTCTACTTTTAGGCCTATTAATTCTTCCATCTGTTATTTTTTTAAAAATGTATCTTATCACAGCCCCATCACTTATGCATAAAAGAGCCAATTTTACCCCATTTGTGCCTATATAGTTATATGTGCTAATTTAATTGGGGTTCTATAGTATTTCGTCAGTATTTTCTTTTCTTTTTTAAAAATAAATCATCTTAAATTTTAGGTAATTTACATATTTTGTCAGTATTTTCTGTTGTGTTTCTCGGATACTAATATTTTTTTTAATTGAGATAGTCCAGTGTTCAATGTCTGATTCATTGAAGTTTATGTCCTCTTTCCATATCTTGACTATTTTCTTATAAATGCAACCCATGAAGCCTTTCTCTTTCTCTAATTTCTATTTTAAAATTTGATCAAAATCTGTTTCTGGACTTTTCTTTCTACTCCTCTCTATAATCCTTTGTTTCAAACCATTCCCATTTGTCTTTTATCATATTCCAATCTTTAATTTGGGTAAAATCATCATCTTAACAATCTTAATTCTGTTGGACATAGCCCAGTTCCAATTTTTCTAGTTGTGAATTTGTTAACTTAATACAAAATCCTTTGTATGTAACACTAGGTTCAGATGCCTATTCAAGGACTTACAGGAACCAAATAAATACAGTAAAACATGGCACCTTTCTTGTGAATCTGCAATATTAATGAATGGAACCCAGCAGGAAACAAAATTTTAAGTCTTCCTATCTGTGCCATAAAAAATGTCTTAAGCCAAAGTGCTTAAGAGATAATGTGTTTATACTTTCATATTTGGGAGTTCCCAGGGAAACATTTAACATCACCACAATATCATTTGTATTTGTTTTGGTTAGGGCTATAATCTATTTTCACTCACCAATGCATATGTACTTTTTGCACTGTACTTTCAGAATTGTCAAACATGTTATGAAGTGTATATAAATGTTCTGAAACCTTTCATACAACTGATTTATAAGAAAATATGCACCAGATCAAAACATACAATGCTTTAATAATGAAAGTGATAAAACCAGTTTCAATGGCAGTACGTTACATAAACCACTTTTATAACTTCAGTTGTCATTCAAATTGTGAAAGAAAGTCTGCACAAGGTTGCTTCCAATACAACAGCACTTTTGTCTGAGAGCACCATGTCTTTTTGAGTACAGTGTAAGAGAGCACACAAGGCAACTCTGTTACAGAAGTTACGGGTCTTTTGTTATGATCCTTTGCCTTTCAAACAAGCTTCACAACAGGGAAGTATCTGTGAGGAGAGAAGTCAAATTCTGGTGGAATCTAGAAAGAGATAATTGACAATAATTTAGGGAACACTGAATGAGTTTATTAAACAGTTTTTAATTCCTAACAATTTACTAACACACCATAAAGTTAAAAAAATCCTGAAGCTCAACTGCAATTACAGGAAGAGAAGACTACAGTCCTATACAAGCACTATGAATTTTAGAAGCAAATATCACAGATTTGAGCAATTCCCAAACCTGGGAAAATTGAACGAGATTTACATTTGGAGGAAGAATTTTTATATGATAGTTATATATTACATCATCTCTGTACTAAAAAAAAGTAAGAGTGAAATCAAGTTCTTTTCCCCCCTTATAACCACAAGGAGCAATGTGACATGCCCCTAATACACACACACATATAACTAAGAGTCAAAGCAGGCTATTTGTACTGAAGATGAATTTATTTAATGCAAGATGTATACTCTGCCCCGACCTCCTCTACTGTTCTACTCTTATTTTCAAATTCCACCTCTCTATAAAAGCCACAGTATGTCTGTGTGTATCCGAAAGGCTATTGCTAGGTGAAGTGGCCTTTTGTGATGTCACTGAGAAAGAAAGGTGACATGTATGAGGGGAAAGGAGTGAGGAAAGAGCCACAAAGAAAGCCATGCTCCAATGGAGACATTTTGAGGTCCTCTAAGAGTTAGAGAAGAAAGAAAGGTGAGAGGAAAGTAGGAAGGAAGGAAAGAAAGAAAGAAAAAGAAAAGGGAAAGAAAGGAAAGGAGATGGAAGGAGGAGATAGGAAAGAGAGAAAGATATGAGGGAAGGAAGGAAAGAGAAAGAAGGGACAAAACAGGGCTAATGGGCACTCAGACATCCAGCCAAGGCCAGGCACATATGCTAGTTTTTATATAAAGGATACAGTAGTTATAAATATCTAATATTTTCTACTACAGTAGAGTCTCGGTTATCCAACATAAACGGGCCGGCAGAATGTTGGAAAAGTGAAAATGTTGGATAATAAGGAGGGATTAAGAAAAAGCCTATTAAACGTCAAATTACGTTATGATTTTACAAATTAAGCACCAAAACATCATGTTTTACAACAAATTGACAGAAATGGCAGTTCAATACATGGTAATGTTACGTAGTAATTACTATAGTTACGAATTTAACACCAAAACATTGCAATATATTGAAACAGTTGTGGATCTGGGAGGGAGGCAGACTTCATTGGATAATACAGAATATTGGATGAGCGAAGGTTGGATAAGCAAGACTCTACTGTACATACTAAGATTTTATGAAGATCACGTCAAGATTTTCCATATTTAGTAGTAAGCTATTAAGCCATAACCACAATACTTAGTACAAAACTCAAGAGAGCATCCTTTAAAATAAACACATTTAACATTCAGTGGTTACCATAGCTACATTCAATAGCTATTGCAATTACAGCACAATAACCCACTCACAATGGTTTGCCATCAACTTAAAGAGCCACTTTGTTCTTCAGGTTTAGTATATTTAAGAGGAATGTGAGATTCAGTGTGGTGCAGTGGTATGAGCATTGGGCCATGACTCTGGAGATGAGGATTTGAATCTCGGCTCAGCCAAAGACGTTTACTGGGTAATTGGGCAAATCACACAAACTTGGTCCCAGAGGAAGGCAAAGGCAACCCCCCTCTGAATAAATCTTGACAAGAAATTCTTGTAATAGGGGTTTTTAAAACGTCACCATAGGTCTGCAGTGACATGAAGGCACACAGCACTAATTCACACTGAAAGTGAACCATAAAAGTATGAACATGCTATTAATATACATAAATTAGTCCTGGCACATTTGTCTGTGATCTCCTGTAGTTTGATTCTATTACATTTTCAAAAACAATCTAGTTGTGATTTGCTTACTTTAGAATCCTTTTTGTGACCACCTGCCAGCAGCTTCATAACCACAATATTGGGTTTAGCAACTTTAAGAATACGGTTGACCTAAACACAAAAAGATCAAAGTTTAATAGTTCTGACAGAAAATAAATCTTAAATGTGGCCAGCAACAACAAATACTTAGTTCAACATGATGCCTGCAACCATTACTGTATCGAGTCATTTAGAGAAAACTAAACTGTTATTTCCACATTCTTTGCTAAGCTGCTTATAAACCAACAAAGTATTCTTTATATAAATACCATTAATTTGGTTCCAAGACAAAAGGCCAAATTTATTCAGTGGTTTTGTTCAAAAAGTAAATGCTAACCACTGTACAAAAATGTATGCTAAAGTGAAGCAAGCATGTTGAACAGCAGCATTTCAAGCCATCCATCCAGATTTGAAGGTTCAACTTTTGCAGATTTGGTTATTCACAGATTAATATGTTATCTTCAGAAATATCGAGGTCTATGACCACAACATCACACTGGAGGACCAAGAAATTCGCCAGGAGAACACTTCTCTAGGCATTGGACATAGAGTCATGCTGGAGAACTTACAGATTCCTAGAGAGGTGTTCTCCAGGTTAAAAAAATATTTTTATTCCACTTTCACAAAACCTGCACTCCTAAGTCCCATGAAAGTGGAGATCCTACTGCACATATATTTGAGAGTGTTTGTTTTTCACACTGGATGATGGCAAGACCTTCAGAGTCCCTTTATCAAAATTCAAAGTTCTGTGTGCAGTAGATGTATTATTATTGCAGAGCTGGCTGTTCTCTAACACTGAATCAGAGAGAAATAATTATCAGCAAACACGAATACTCCAAGCCAGGATTCCTGATTTAACGTGCACAAGCAGAGCACTTGTGAATGGTATTGATCATGTGTGCAGAAAGCTGTTTATTGTAAAGTGAAAATATAGGGTGCTCTCCTTTTTTGGTTTATCTCACAGAAAGAAACCAGCATTTGTTTTTGGTTGGGAAACAAGGGAAAAGTGCTCAATAAAGAAATTACAAAGCTGTCTGTTTAGCCAGGAATGGTCAAACAATGTGCACCAGAAAACTGCTTGAACATGAGAAACCAGGATTCCTGCAAACCTCTGGCTTGCTGTTGTCATACTAATAATAAACCTTCCCACTGGCAAGATTGGGTCGGCCCTCCCTGTGCTCTCCCTCTCCCTGAACACCAGGAAAATTCTAACTGTACAACAAAAATGATTAAGACGTTTACTGTTTAAAGCATAATTCATGGAAGTGCCACCCTTTCCCCCTCTATTCCTATGCATAGAGAGTGTGTCTCACCTCCTGGTCTGGGTTAGGGATATTTTCCAGTATCATTTTAGCTTGCTGGAAGTGTTTGCTAGCAGCCATGTAGAGATCAGAAGATTGAGGAGGAGGACTATATTTGTTTAGGTCAGACATTTCCTAAATATTAGGGGGGAAATGAGAATTCATTAAAAGAAATTGCCCCTCCCCCAAAGAGAAAGATTTTAGTTTTATTTATTCAGACTTTTAGCTACAGAGGAGATGGGGCTTTGAACCAAATAAATGAAAAAAACTTCACATCAAGAAGGAAGGGAACAATTAAAATTAAGAAGTGTTTAGCCCAATTGGAAAAATGTTTCAATTAAAAAATAACAAAAAATATACAAATAACCATACAAGTTATTAATTTCACAATGAAGAAGCTATAGGCCAGTACCAACCTTGAACTGCAAATAGTGTACCGGTGGTGGTGTTATGACACTGTTGAATGGTGCAAACCTGTGCTCGTATCGAACTTGTTCACTATCAAGTTCAAACTTTGGCTTTCTCACTTTCCCATCCATATCAAAAGCAATCATAGTCTTCAGAAAAGCAGAGAGACAAAAGTAAGCGAACCCAGGAGAATGAGAAATTTGGTTCTTACAACATCTACAGCAGAAGCAGTGGTGCATGTACTCCACAAATGTTACTTCAGAAAAATGACTGATGAGGACTCAATGAAGTCACAACACAGAGAAACCAGATACACTTGCACTGTATTCACTTATCACCCTCAAATGAGCTGTCACAATGAGCTACATGCATTTACTATGAAGGAAGCCGCGGGGAGAACGCTTCTAAAAATGCCATCCCTTAATCCCCTCAATTTGATTAGCTATAGGCCAGTACTAAATTTGTCTTTTATCAGTAAGATCTTGGAATGGCCAATCAGCTCCAAATAGCCAATCAGCTCCAAAGATTTTTGGAGGACACTGATTTTCAGGCTGGGACATGGGACGGAAAAGGTTTTGGTTGCCTTGGTGGATGATCTTCGGAGGAAACTAGTCAAGGGGAGGTTTTTATGTATGTCAGGAGTGACTCGAGAAACCACAAGTCGCTTCTGGTGTGAGAGAATTGGCTGTCTGCAAGGATGTTGCCCAGGAGACACCTGGATGTCTTACCACCCTGTGGGAGGCTTCTCTCATGTCCCTGCATGAGAACCTGGAGCTGACAGATGGGAGCTCACCCTGCTCCCCGGATTCAAACCGCTGACCTTTTGATCAGCAGTCCTGCTGGCACAAGGGTTTAACCCATTGCACCACTGGGGGGAGTGTGACCCTGTTGGTCCTCCTAAAGCTCTCAGTGGCATTTGTATACCAACAACCATGGTATTCTTCTGGAGCACCTGGTGGGGATGGGACTGGGAGGGTACTGTACTGCAGTGGTTCATCTTTCCTTTCGGAACGTCTCTGGAAGGTGGTATTGGAGGAGTCCTTTCTAATCTCATGGCCTGTTGGCTGTGGGGTCCCATAGGGCTCATCACTAATTTTACACAATATTTAAAATAATTTTTGTAAACTGAATCATCAGAAAACAAAGATGCCATTATCTCAGCCACCCATGTTCATAATTACAGATTTTTTATTTTGGATTTTTGGATAACGGATGCTCCATCTGTATTCAAGTACAAAGCCTTTCAAGAATGTTTAGGCACAATTCTCTGTTTGACTACTTATATATCAGAATATTTTTAAAAGGTTACTTTTATAATTACAATCCATATACATCACCTTATACATCCCAGCACACATGTTTTGATAGGCTTGGCTCATGGTGATCTCTCTGCTCAAAGGGCGTGCTGCAAATTCCATGCACAAAATATTTTACTACAGTTACAAGTACTTCAATGATGTCAAAAAACACAGTGACTTAACATGGGAGGGCTTTGGGGGATGCCCTCATATCCCTTGCAAGGAGAAATTTGCCCCCATCCCTACTTTGCAGAATGCAAAATTCAGATTTCCATCTAGACTAGGTCAAATGTATGCTATAACTTCTCAGGGGGAAACACCTTCAACTTCCATCCACACAAAGGCTGGACTTTTCTAAGGGAGGTATTGCTTATACTGAACTAATCTTCAAAATGAAGACTCTCCACTGAGGTGAGGAATCACCTTCAGAGACATAGGAAACCTGTTGCTTTTGCCTAAGGATAGCATTGCCTCAGTGGTAGCCTACAAGGAATTCAATGAGTAGGGCTGAAGGTCAAGGCCAATGGGACTGGTGTGGCAGCATACAGGGTCTCCCCACATTTAATGCTCACAACCATGTCATACATTCATTTATTCACTTATTCAACCTCTCACACATACACATGATGATCTTGCTGAACTATAGTTATGCTCTGTAACACTTTCTCGAAAAACCTGAAGTGGTGAGATGTTACAGTTGGGACTGTAGAGTTAGTTCCCTCTTCCTTCCTATAAACCTTTCCTCACCTGGCAAGGGAAGCTAGTAACCTTGCAAAAAGCCCACCACTAGCTTTGATGGGAGGTCTTTGCTAACTTTAACTGTGGCATTTGGGGCAAGGCAGAGGGAAGATAGGAAAGGATATGTCCTCTTGAGCAGTGATCTCCTCTGAAAACGCTACCATCCCCACCACCACTGGCAACATTTTCTCTGGCAACAGAGCAGACAGACACAGGGATAGAAGAGAAAGTGTGGGTTAGATGACAAAGGGCACAAACCACAGTTACTTTGTAGCCTAGTGAGTCTCCTATTCTTGAAAGTAATTAAATTTAGATAGCATATCAAAAAATCAGAGAATTTTTTTTTAAAATTGCAGCTAGTTAGACCAAATGAAACTGAGTATTGAAGTAGTTTACTGATGTGGAAGTAAGAATCTTGGAAAGAGAGATCCATACTGCCAAATTCAGAATTCAGGAGCGGGGAACAACAACAACAACAACAACAATACAGAATAACAGAAATTCTGTTATTCAGTCATATAAAAATGTTTTTTTTTTCAATTTAAAACTGTCAAATTCAACTATGAGATGCAGCTGAAAAATAAATTCTGGAATTCTATTTCTACAGAATCAGTGCTCCCTAATTTAGACGGCTACATGAAGCTGAAAATAAATAACCACCATTATTTTCATGTGCTTTAAAAGAAACATGAGACGAAAAAAAACCCCCAGCAAATATGATCTGAAAAGCATATACACCTTTTTTCTTTTTCTTGGACTTCTTATTGCTCCGGCCTTTCTGCTGCTCTTCCATTATTCTTTCTTCCGCCATCTGAGAACTATCAGCTCGGCTGAGTGTTGACATTAACCAGGCATAGAGGAACTCTGAGAGATACCTACAAACAAGTTTGTGATCAGTTACTTGAGGACAATTCCAGGGCATAGGAGTACAAGCCCTATAGAACAAAACACAATTGTGATTAAAAGCATTTCTGTTCGGTTTTCCTGTTAATCTATAGCAGGCATGGGCAAACGTCGGTCCTCCAGGTGTTTCGGACTTCAACTCCCACAATTCCTAACAGCTGGGAGGCTGTTAGGAATTGTGGGAGTTGTAGTTCAAAACACCTGGAAGGGTGAAATTTGTCCATGGCTGATTTATAGCCAACTATTTTTTTTAATAATTTCAAAAGGTTATATTAATCTGCTGAATCCAACAGCCTGGACCCTAATTCAATGTAGCTGAAGAGAGTTTAGAGAAAGGAGGTTCCTTCTCTCCCCTTGCATCCTAGGAAAAACCCCTCTGTGTAAAACTTTCTATGGGATGGGACCTTTGGGGAGAAGGGTGCAGGAACTTAATTCCATAACCTTCAATTCAGAATCCAAGACTGTTTGGGGGACTGATACTATCCATGTCTGGGTCTAACCCTATGCAAACAGTCTCTAATATATACTGATCATATATAAGCCAACTCACCGTAGAATGCACCGTGTACTATTTCTACCAATTAGGACAGTTTCTCAAACTGCCCTTTCAGATGTTTTGGATTTCAGCTCCCACACTTCCTAACAGCTGGGATTTCTGGGGGCTGGAGTCTAAAACACCTGGAGGAGCAGAGTTTGAGAAATGCCGAATTAGGGAAATACTCACTCCCAATTCTTACCAATATATGTAGTAGTATTCGTGCATGCTATACAGTTCCAGTTCAAACCCACTCAGAAGATATTGTATCATGATGCGAAGGTTATGGTAAAGGACCCAGGTGCCCAAGCATGCCAAGTGTTGCCTCTGGGGTTCCTGTTTCAGCAGCATACTGTGAAGTGCTGCATCCACTTTCTCTGCCTAGAAGATTGAAAGGAAAAGTGTTCAGCACAAACTCCAGTGCGGCCAATTTCGCACAGTGTACTGACAAAATTCAAAACCCTGTATCCTGCATTGGGGAAGATGACAACACATACATCAGTGCAGCGAAGAAACTACAATGCCCAATGCAACAATGGATTAGACTGTTCCAGTTTCATTCTACCAGGCAGGACATTTTCATATCCTAAAACCATGTGTTACTGGGGAGTTCCCACAGAACTAAACCTGCAAGGGAGGCATTTAACGACCTTGTTACCGCAAGAGACTTAGACAGTCTCTCTGCTGCCTGCCATGTACTTTTAAAGAGAAAACAAAGATGGGACAAAAAAAGTGTCCCATCAAACACAGCACTCAAACATGAATCAAAGAACATGAAAGACACTGCAGATTAATTCAATCTGAGAAATCAGCCATAGCAGGGCACCTGATGAACCAACCTGGACACAGCATATTATTTGAGAACACAGAAATGCTGGACCATTCTAAAAACCACCATGTCAAACTACACAGAGAAACCACTGAAATCCACAAGCATGTGGACAATTTCAACAGAAAGGAGTACACCATGAAAATGAACAAAATCTGGCTACCAGTATTTTAAAAAACCCTCTAAAATCAGGACAGTAAATAAAGAACACCACTCATAAACAGGGTTATTCCAGTCAAGAAACAATCAGGGCCAACTAACACATCCCAATAAAGGATTACCCCAGGCAGAAAGCAGCCAAGCTTTGAAGCTACAAGGCTATTCAATGCTAATCGAGATGATCAATTACAACATTCACACTTGCCTCAAGCAGACAAGAGTTCTTTCTCACACCCTGGACATTCCACAGATATATAAACCCCACTTGCCTAGTTTCCAACAAACCTCACAATCTCTCAGGATGCCTGCCATAGATGTTGGTGAAGTGCCAGGAAAGAATGCTTCTGGAACATGGCCATATGGCCCAGAAGACTCACAGCAACCCTGTCCCATCAGATTTATTGCATTCTGGGGCACATTTTTTTAAAAATGCAATATAATGAGACAAAAATGTTGCAAACTATTGTAAAAACATATGGTAGAAAATTTGAGGTGAATGCTTGGATGAGAAACTACTCCTCCCTCTGGTCAAAAGTGGGAGAACAAGAAATGCATGATCCTACACAAAAAAACCAGTCAGCAATACCAGTCAGTAAACCAAGAAAGAGGGGCATAAAAATGTGTGATGCCAGCATGGCAAGATATGATGTCCTTTGAATAGAAACATTTATCTGGACAGGATCCCTGGAAACCAGTTTGAAAACACTGACATTCCACAATAAACAAAAAGGGAGTGTGAATGAAAGAATGCCCAAACACCCAGATCCTGAAAACTTTTATCAGGATTTGACTGGCATTTTGTACTCATCAAGGCTTATAAAGCAAGTTCCTTTGGGGAGATGGAGGCGGGTACAAAAATAAAGTTGTTTTTGTTGTTGTTGTTATTATTATTATTATTATTATTATTATTATCTTCATGGTATAACCTTGTTTTGAGCAGCTGACAGACTTAAATTTCCTACATCATTCCTTGTTTTCACCCCTCCCATTTATCTTATTCTAGCTTATATACACATTGTGTCAACACCACACTTTACAATATAACCTACGCTGAATAATATATTTATACAAATGAATAAACATTGCGGTTTCTGCCTCACAAACACTCATGAGAATATACAACATTTTCATTCCCTGATATTCACTGGCATTCCCATGGGAAAAGAAAAATACCATAAAAATAACTATGCAAGGGAAAGGGAAGAAGCATTAAACATGCAGTTGCCAAAAAGGCATATTTTGTACAGCATTCCTTGCCTCTAAATTACCTCATCTTGCAAAGTCGCAAATTCTTCAAGAATATGTCCAAGTTTATCCCTTTGACGAGCCCTATTGTGCCCATGAATCTGAATTAAACTACAGAATGGCTGAAAGGGGGGAAAAAAGAAGACAAGTTAGCTTTTTAGACATCTACATCACTATTCTATCACAGGCTTCATTTGAAGCATAGATTTTGAGACCATTATTGGAGGCAACAATGGGCAGGCTGACACTGCATCAGTCCTAATCTGGAGCCCTTTGAAATACGCTTACATGGAATTTGACTGAGCTCCTGGCTCCCCTCCAAGTCAACTCTGGTTTATAATAAAGTGGGACAGATATTGATGTCCTGAACGTATACATCTGTTGTAAATCACAGAACCAAGCACATTTAGGACGGGACTGAAACAACATATGGCACAAGCAGAAGGAGCATGACTCATATGATGCCACTCAGTTGGTATTTTCAGTGCTAATGTCGTGCATTGAACTGAGCACATGAAAGAGTGCTACAGGTGTCAAGTACTGTATTCTAAGGTAACAACTAAAAACAATTATATATTGTTATGGCCAAGCACAGACTTCTTATTTTGTTTTCTCTACGAAAAGTTCTTGACAGCATTACCAAACACAGTGGGGATCTTCTAAGGACAACTAGGGTGACAAATCTTTGTCAAGAGTCCTATGACTGTGGTTGGGTAGAAATACTGGGCTGGGCTTAGCACAGCAGGTTAATCACCGGCCGCAATAAATCTTGCCAATCGAAAGATTGGCAGTTCAAAGTCTGGGTTGGGGGTGAGCACCTGACCTCCAGCCCAGCTGACTGCCAACCTAGCATATTGAAAAAAAAATCTGTGAGTAGATAAATAGGCACTGCTTAGTGGGGAGGTACAGTAGCACCATGAGGACATACCAGGAAATTCTGGTGATTTGACCAAAAAGGAGGAAGGCTGTGAACAGGGCTCTTTAACATGGAGAATGGAGCAACAGCACCACCCCCCCCCCCATGGCCAGAATCGAGCACAATCTCCAAGATGCCTAAAGATGGGAAAAGCATATATACCTCTATCTGTACTGTTGTCTTCTTGTCAGTGAAAGTGGTACTTAATGTTTGCTGTATATGTGTTCTGTGAGTCATCCTATGTCCCTTTCAGGGTGAGAAGGGCTGAATATAAATACTGTAAATAAAATAAATGGTGACATTTTGCTCAGCCTTGGTGCCAGGCTATGATCTCCTTGGGGCTGGTATGTAACTTCAGCGAATAAGTAGAGCAGCAATCTAGCAAAACAAAAGTTTGCCACCAGTGCCCTTAAGGATAAAAGGTAGCAGCTTCTGAACTTGTTAAATGGAGGTGCTTTCTCAGCATAGGAAAACACACCAGAAAAGATCTGCTGCAGCAGCAGCGTTGCGCCTTGGACCAATAGGATGACCTTAGGTTGTGAGAAAGGATGACGTCTACAAGTTGTCTTATTTCATCTCTCAAAAACCTTATTAGTTCCACATAATAACTGTTCTAGCCACAGAGACGGTCGTTGTTCACGAACAATCGGCTTAGTCTGCTGTGGGAGAGCTCAAATTCTTACAAAATGTTGTCCTAAATTCAACTTAATCTTAGGAGAGTGGAGATTCTCATGATAATTGGCAACAAACAGCAGCTGTTCCAGAGATTGTGCAACCAGCTATATAACCACCCAGACAGTCATCTGCACAATGCATTGTTTAATAGCCTTGTACAACAGAGAAGCTTAAGAGGGGACATGATAGAAATGTATTTGAAAGCATATCATACTGAAGAGGGGGGAACCTTGTTTTCTGTTGCTCCAACCCTAGGACACAGTGCAATGGAATCAAACTGCAGGAAAGTAGATTCCACCTAAACATTAGGAAAAGCTTCCTGACTGTGAGAGCTGTTTGGAAGTGGAATATGTCAGTGTTTATGCTGTTTGAGTAGTTTAAACAGCATGTTAGAAATGTTCTAGTAGTTAATGAGTTAGTGTAATATGTTAAGAGTTTTTATCATTTCTTAAGTAACAAGTAGTGTACGGATCAGGGCAGCAAGCAATAAGAGCCAAACCACCTGGTTAGCATTATGTAATTACAACCAGGGTGAAATAACCACTAGGGTTGGAGTTCGCTGAGGAGTTGGAAGGCTGGAGTTCTGAAAGTTTTGTGTCTTGAGGTGACTGAAGGTTGGAGTATCAAGAAGAATTGGACTATAAAACCATCCTGCTGCAAGTAAGAAGTCTCCAATTATCTGGAAGTATCAGGAAAAGAAGGCTGGAGAAGTATTCCATTATTCAACCACTGTAAATGGAATCTGTGTATGTGTGTGTATATGTGTGTGTGTGTGTATATATATATATGTATATATATGTATATGTATGTGTGTATATATATAGTCTGCTGCAAAGGCAAAAGTGTGAATTTACTCCTTGATTGGAGGGGGGAAATCTTCATCGCAATATAATAGAGGGGTAGAATATTGCTAGGATCCTTCCATACAACCCTATATCCCAGAATATTTTAAGGCAGAAAATTCCACAATATCTCCTTTGAACTGTGTCATCTGAGTCCACACTCTGATAATGTGAGATTTTCAACCTTGATATTCTGGGATATAGGGCTGTGTGGAAGGGCCCTTAGAAGGTCAGAAATGCCATTTCCTGAACCAACTGAAAAAGGACAACATGCTCCATTCTTTGCTATGATGTGAATGAGGACAGATGTGTTTCAAAATTGTAATGTATATAATTCTTTTAAATAAAGTAAAAAGAACCGCTTTTGTTGAAAGCTGAATTCATGGAGTCTGTGTGAACTGTTTATCTTGGTGCCTTCAAGACAAGTGTCGAAAGGAGTGAGATAAAGGCAGCTGATTTACGATTGCTTTATCTCAAAGGACATACTGCCTGGGAGTGTGGTGGAATCTCTTTCTCTGGAGATTTTTAAGCTGAGGCTAGATGGCCATCTTTTGGGAGTGCTTTCATAATGTATTCCTCTATGGCAGAATGGGGTTAGACTGGATGGCCCCTGTGGTATCTTCCAATTCTATGATTTTATTAATTTTCAGTTTGTTTAGATGTTTGTGTTCTTTCTTCTTTATTTCTCAAAAAAGAAAGAGGAAACCAAAGCACAGTTTTGATTCATCCGTTGAGTAACCCTCTATTTCAGGGTCTCTGACAATGACACCTACTGCATTCTTGGGAGTTCCAGTCCACAAAGAGCATGTTTTCCTTCAGTGTCCCATTTTACAAATCATGCTCTTCACATATTATTCTGTCTACAAAATAATACGTTACTACACAACTGCAAAAAAACTAGGAAAATCATTCAGTTAAGTGCCTCACTTGACAAAAACATCCTGAATTCTAAAAAGATACTCTTTGTACATAAAATGTTTTTAAATGTGTCATGATGTTATTGTTTGATGTTTACTGTTTATTGCTTTAATGTTTATTGGTTTTGCTTTTTTGAGTTTTATTGTTGTATTTGTTATGCTGTTGTTTTATTGAGGGCCTTGGACTTTGTAAGTCGCACCGAGTCCTTCGGGAGATGTTAGCGGGGTACAAATAAAGTTAATAATAATAAAGTGCCTAGGAATTTTTAATAACAAACCCTTCATAACATCACCAATACTCACACGAACACAATGTGTGACAAAGGAATCAATGTAATCCTTAGCCTGATGGTTATTATACAGACAACACCTAAGAGAGAGTGAACAAAATAATGTCAGTGAAAACCATTGTCCTAAGTAACCAAAATGGACAAAACTCTTTATTTAAGAAATGATGGAAACGAAAAACAGCTAAACTGTGAAAAGGATACAGGTGTTACTCGAAACAAGCTAAGCTGTTCAAAGAAATCTGGTCCTTGTTTATCATGCTTTACATTCTTGCATGAGGTTATCTGAGTTGAGTGGTCAGTTGAGACAATTACCATTATTTTTTAACTATCTTAATAAAGGAGATAAGCTTTACCACCCTTGCATTAAATTAAAACTATTTTGTAAGGGACAAATATTGGGTGGCTGTCCACAGTTGGCAGCAAAACAGAAAGATAACTGAGTTCCAGACTACAAATTAGTAGCCAATGAACTTTCTTTAGAGTTGCAATGTCATTAACAATTGTTAGTTGTCCAAACTCAGAGTAGTGCTGTGTTGATTTAGAAGGACAAATGGACGTTATTGGCCTGTATTATTTTTAAACATTGAAATATGCAATAAGTATACAGATTAGAGCCAATTCTAGGTTCTGCTACTCACTTAGTTGAAAGCACTGGAGGACTGACAAAGGATCTCAAGGCATCTTTCACCATGTCTTGCATGAGATGAGTACCAAATACCTTTTTATTATCTACAAGAAAAGTAGTCTGCAGGAAAGAGTAGTTCTGTTACTTTTCCAACTATAAACAAATACTTAAAACATTTCTTGCATATTTGGTGTTTTCCTACTTACCTGTAACAGTGATCTTGAAAGAACACAAGGGGACTGTTCACTAAATTCACAGAAAAAATCCTAATACAGAAACAGAATGGAGAAAGAAAAGAGCCAGCATTAACTTTTACACATGCAGTTGGAAACCTAGGGAGGGAATAAGGCAATTGTTTGGGAAATCTACTGTTGTTCAACTGAGTGCAGACTCTCCCTTCAAAAGTATATGAGTAAACATTATACCTTTTCCCTGCTACAGGAAGCCATCAATGACGGTCTGATGTCAGATGTAGTCATGTGCATTCGGGCCAAAAAGCATACTGTTTCCGTTTTCATCTGATCCCTCATTTAGTTTACCAGAAAGTTACCCGAAAGGAGAGGGGTGTTTTCTGTTTCATTTGGCAGAGATTTGGCCCACTGGTTACAATGGGAAAATTTAAAGACTCGATCCTCAGCCATTTTAAGGCCTATCTGCATGAAACCTAAGGGCCTTCTCTGGAGGAGGGAACTTTCCACAAAAAAATAGAGGATGAAGAAAATTGGTTTCTGCCGGGGAGAAAACAAGATGCCACAGACCTCCCTGTCTCGGGTATTTTGTGGACTTAACTCTTTCCGAAAATATCATCTCTGAATTTGTTTCACTTGTCTTTTCGTCTATCTCCCCCCCCCCCTTTCTGTTTTTGGAAATTACACAAAAATAGCCCTCCAAAAACGGCAAATCTTTTTGTTAACAGTGATTTGAGCCTAATGCTAATCAGATGTCATTTCAACCCAATGCTATAATTCTTACACCATTGCTTATACATGGATACTTTGGACTGAGAGGACTTACTTCCTAGGACATATGAATAGGATAATACCGTAGGCTTCCACCATGTTTTTCTATTGGTACATGAAACAATCAAAAGTGGAATGGAAAATAACAGCTGCATCAATACTTCTGTTCATAAGTCCTAGGAATTGCTCCAGGAATCTGGCCTTATACAGTAAGATAAAGCAACTGAAAAAGTTCAGACTTACCAGTATGCAGTGCAAATTAGTTAAAGTAACAACTTCACAAACTGTTTTTATTCGGTCAATAAGTTTTGAAAAATAGTTGACCATTTCTTCCCTTTTAATGATCTTTGCATATCGAGGAAAAGTTGGGGGAAGCAGTCTCTGATTCACAAGGGGCTCAAAACCCATCATAATAGGATGATCTAAAAAAGTAATTGAATTGCTGTTCTTGATTTGTATTAAGTACAATGTCATACACGAATAGTTTCAATAAAGAGGGAACAACATTTCAGTTCATTCACTTCGAAACAGTGGACAGTTTTCAAAAAAGGATAAAGCCTTTTCTTCTCTGGAACAATCTCTCTTTTACTGTCCAAACTAGCTGCTTCTCTAGATCCTTTTAAAACAGAGCTATAACTTTGTCTTTGTAAACTTGACTTTTGTTTTATGGCTGAAAAATGTAATATTCTGTGGGCAAAATTTTTGCATCTATAAGTAAGACAGCATTACCTGAACAACTGTGTATCTTACAAATACATACATTCAATTTCTAATTACAGTAAGAACAGTTCCACTGAATTAAAGGTCTCTGTCAATTCAGCAGGTCTAGTAACTTACATTTGATGTCTCAAACCTGCACCTGTTGATAAACTCTACAAGCTAACTGGCACTGCCCCCCCCCTCGCCGCCACCTCTGATGTGCAACAGGAAGTTGCTACTAACTGGGAAAGAAATAAAATTGAATACTGTGAAAGCCATCCACTGCATGACTATCAGCTTCCTCCCAGTAGACTCAAATCAAGGAAAAGCTTCATGAGAACCACCACTCCTCTGAATGTTCCCCCAGCAACAGCAAGACAATCTCTCTGGGCAGCAAAATCAAGAAATTACAACTGGATGACACCCCCAATGAGGGTCTGCCCCCAGGGGCAAACCAAGAATTGGCAACTTGGAAGTCCCTGAACAGACTCAGAAGTGGAGTGGGCAGATCAAAAGACAACCTGGAAAAATGGCACTACCTAGTACAGTGGTTCTCAACCTGTGGGTCCCCAGGTGTTTTGGCCTACAACTCTCAGAAATCCCAGCCAGCTCACCAGTTGTTAGGATATCTGGGAGTTGAAGGTCAAAACATCTGAGGACCCACAGGTTGAGAACCACAGACCTAGAAGAATCCTCCACCTTGTGCGACTGTGGAGCAGAACAAACAACTCCACATCTGCAAGCTTGTTCACAATGCCCTGCCTCATGCACAGAGGAAGAATTGTTTAAAGCTACAGACAATGCGGTCAGTTACCTGTTTTGGTCAAAAATTATTTAGCCGCTTGTACTCCCTCTATTTTATCAGTTTTATACTTACTTGTGCAATGCTTTTGACACGAAATAAAGAACAGGTCTAGTCTTAACTGGGATTAGCAAACAAGTTTATACTAGAGGTGGAATTCATATGACCTTCAAGATGTTTTTGAACTGTGGTCTCTTCAACACTCTTAACAATTATAGCACCGTGATTCCACTTTAACTGTTACAGCTTCCTCTTACAGAATCATGGAATGTGTAGTTTTCTGAGGCACTAGATGGCAGAGAATCCTAAATACCCTTCCCTAAACTGCAGTTTCCAGGATTCCATAGGATTTTGCCATGATAATTAAAGTGGAACCTCCTCGCTATAATTAGAAAGTATGAAAGGGACTTCTTTATTTTATATCCCACCTTCTTCCTAATATAGGAGACAAGGTGGCAACTTTTATCTTCCAGTGTTCCTCACTGCTGGGATTTGCAGGTCAGCTACATCTGCGTGCTCTCTACCTCCCGTGATACATAGATGAGCATGGTTCTTCTGCAAATCTCTAAATGTACTAGGCATCCTGAATTGTAACAGGCCACAAAAAAGAGAAAAAAAGAAAGAGAACATTTCTGAAGAAAATGTTTTAGCTCAGAATATGTTTTAATGGATTTGAACTGTGATTTTTAAATACTATTTATACTTAATTTTGTTTTAATGTTTGCATATCTGTATATTTTAAATTGTATACTAATGCCTTTATGTTAAGCCACTTTGAGGCTCCTTCAGAAAAGATAAAGCACGGTAAAATAAATATAATAATAATAATAATACCTCCTTTTGTTGTGTCATTCTGAGCTTGAATGCCATGGTGTAATGAGTTGTGGATAGCAGAAAGTAAGTCGGCTGCCTGAGTCATCAATTTCTGAGCTTCTGCAACTGCACTAGTCTGTTAAAAAGATATATATATATGTACCCACACAGACACATACATACAGTGTTTACACTACTAGACAATGACGAACATCTATCATTATAATGAAAGACTGTTGAGTATATATCTGTTTCTGTGCTAACCTCTTAAAATGGCACACTTGACAATCTTATGACTTTCCCCCCCACCCCCTGTCAAGAGCGATTTAAGAAACTACAAGTCACTTCTGTTGTGAGAGAATTGGCTCTTTGCAAGGATGTTGCCTAGGGGACGCTTGGATGCTTTACCATCCTGTGGGAGGCTTCTTTAAAAACCAGCAATGGAAAGGAAAATCTTGGGATGAATCTTTGCTGTAGAATGAATAGACTTTAACTGCCCTGGCTCAATGCTTAAGGGTCATGGGGGCTGTAGCATGGGATTATGGGGGCTGTCAAAGAATGCTGATGCCTCACCAAACTACATATCCCAGCATTGTATACCATTGAGCCATAGCAATTAAATTAGAGATGATGTTCCTCAAATAGAAGCTCCAGGTGCTCCTAATTAGCTCCCCCTTTTGCTTTGGCTCAGCACTATTACCATATTATACAACTCTACTGTGCACCCTAATTTTGGGAAGGTAATTTAGCCAAAAAAGGTGAGCATTAGATTCGTGTACATGCGGTATATAGGAAACAGCTCAACACTGATTTGTATCTGTAGCCTTTCAACTCAGCACTGTCAATTGTAAAAGGCAGCAGTCCTCCAGGGCTCCAAGGCAGGAGTCTTTCCTATCTCCATCTGGGGTCCCAGGGACTGACTGGGAACTTCAGCATACAAAGCATCTGCTCTTCACTGACCTATTCTAACACTAATATTGAGGGTAACAACCAGCAGCTGCCGTGTTGGATCAAAGGAAAGGTACAGCTATGGCACCATCCCATTTTTTGCATCCCACCCATCCTTTCCTCCTTGTACACAGCTTCTGATAAGTGAGAAAAAATAGCTTCTTATTATGAAAATGCTATACAGGAAACATGCTTAAATACTCAAACTGCTACTATTTCATAGTACATGCAGGTTACCTAATGATAACATACCTCTTTTTTGGTAAAGGCTATCAGTACAGTCAGTAAAACCCGAGTAAATTTCACTCTGCTGAATACTGCAAAGCACTGCTGATGCTACAAGAAATCAATCCTCAATTAATACTTTTCAAACTTCTGGTGATCGAATACAAAATACAAGTTTTGTTAAAACCTGCTTTATAATTTTGGAAGCTAAAGCTAAATTTGAATATAAATCTACATTCTGAGATGAATATAACATTTCTCTTTCACAAAACAATTAATGGTCAGGACCAATAAAATATGGTGCATCAAAATTGTACAATCAACAAAATTATTTGTACAATCAACAAAATTATTTTACATGCTCAACCTGTGTAACTAATAGTATATAAACTCATGCATAAATCAAGGGCAGGTTTTGGGGCCAAAATTATGGATTTCGATATGATTCCTGGATAATTCAAAGATCATTCTGCAAAAGGAGGAAGTGTCAGTGTCTGCTCAGGTGAGCATTTTTCTTTCATTAACATGGATAAATTATTTCCACTAAATCAAACAATTTCAATATCCAGTTCTTTACTGAAAGTATTTATTTATACTTCCAACTTTAGGCATAAACTAATCTGGTCTCTCATATATCAAATTACCTTTTCTTTCTGTCTTTGTGTTATACCTAATAATAGCAGCTACAGCTTAAAGCTCACTTTTGTCTTTATGATTTTCTGTATCACCTCATGGATACAGAATTTATTTTATTTTATTACTATTATTATTTTGCATTTTAATGTGACTACTGCATGTGGTAGCATGATCAATCTTTCATTTTATACTTCCAATATTTATTTTTTATTTAGGCCAGTGTTTCTCAAGCTTCCTAATGGTGCAACACCTTAGTACAGTTCTGCATGTTGTGGTGACCCCTCCCCCACAACTATAAAATTATTTTCATTGCTACTTCAGATTTTGTCACTGCTGGGATTTATAGTTCACCTACAATCAAAGAGCATTCTGAACTCCACCAACAATGGAATTGAACCAATCTTGGCACACAGAATTTCCATGACCAACAGAAAATACTGGAAGGATTTCGTGAGCACTGACCTTGGGTTTAGGAGTTGTAGTTCACCTCCATCCAGAGAGCACTGTGGACTCAAACAATGATGGTTTTGGACCAAACCTGGCCCTCAATATGTCCAATTGTGAATACTGGTGGAGTTTATGGAAAAGAGGCCTTGACATTTGGGAGTTGTACTTGCTGAGATTTATAATTCGCCTGCAATCAAAGAGCTTTCGGAACCCAACCAACGATAGAATTGGGCTGAACTTTTCGCATAGAAGGGACTCACTGGTGTAAGCCTCCCTTCAGCCTCGCATGCTCTCCCTCACCCATACACCATGCTGCAATGTGCCAAGCAATACAGGGGGAGAGATCTTCAGCCTTCTCTGACAAAGGGGTTCCTAAAACCACCAGAAATATGTGTTTTCTAATGGTCTTTGGCAACCCTTCTGAAACACCCTCATAACCCCCCCAGGGGTCCCGACTTCCATGCTGAGAAACACTGATTTAGGGGGTCAAAATGATTTGAACTTATACATGAGTATATATAGTATTTAGTCTATTACAAATGGAAGTATAGTCAAAATCAAGACAAAGTTGTATTCCTTCAAAAACTTCTTTCTTTAAACATCGACTGCTCTTCCACATTTTCCTGTAATTCTTTAACAAACAAATACGCATGATAGTGCATATTCCAAGAAGAGGCTCAAGGAAGAGATGTTACTATGATCTTGGGAGAAAGCACACAAGCTCCTTACTTCAAGTTCCACTTCTGGATCTCTCTCCTCTCCTTGTCGGCTTCGAGTGCTCTAGAACAATTAGAAGAATTTCATGACACTTGAAGTGAAACACTAGTTTTCTCTCATTGCCAAATTGCCACATAAGTATCATTGCTTACTCCTTTCCAATAACATTGCCCAACCAAAAAATCTCGGTGTCTTGGTTTTAAGGCCTGTTCCTGGAGTTATTTGGGGTGCCGATTTAGAAAATCACATTGGATTGACTGCATCACCTCCAGTTTTTTAATAGTTATCATGGTTTTCTATGTACGAGCAGATTAAGACTGGTATATGGCATATGTTCTAGAGCTGATAGGGGACAATGGTGCCATTTTTTTGAATCAACAGGTCAAATATACTCAAAAACAGGTTTAACATTTGAGGCACCAAAAGTGTTGTCCAGTGTAATCTTCAGTGGTATCACCTTCAACAGAATATATACAGAAGACAGTCAGTAAATTATAGACTTCGACAAGGAAGGCATGGATTCAAATCCCATTCCACACACAAAAATGCATTAACAGGAGGCACATTTGTTAGCTCTCCTGCCTGTCCCTTCAATATATAAAGTCACCACATGCCTACAATTCAGCTCTGAAGTACTGTGGTTTGAGTGTTGCACTATCAGCATGGAAGACCAGAGTTCAAATCACTGCTCAGTCAAGGAAACCCCAGTGAATGTCACGAAGCAAGTCACAGGCTATGAGGAAACCTCCTCTGAAGAAATCTGGCCAAGGAAACTCGAGGAAATTGAGTTGACATAAGAACGGATAGCCACCAAATCTGTACATTCTATCAAAATTGGTTATGTTTATTAGTTTCCTTTTAAAAACTGTCTAGACTATGAATGTCTATGTAAAAATACGATTGCTTTAAAAACTGTCAAAAATTATACCTTAACTCGACGCTGCATGTCATCTTCAACATCTTTCAGCATACCTGAAAAAAATCAGTTTAGATGAATGAATCCCTGACGGAAAAATCTGGTTGTGTATTTAGCTGAACATTTATATTTCACTCAACAAGTACAACTCTGCATCCATTTTTATTACTTCTTTGGGCTAAACTCCCATGCTAGCTGGAGGATTCTGGGAGCTACAGTTGATACTAAGTAACTTTTCAAAGCTCTGATTTAAAATAATATATTCTAAGACTTGAACACTTTTCTCCAATTCCTCATGTAGTTTAAATTACTTATTTGACTAACCCCAGGCTGGGACTCACAGTTTTCCAGATGTTGCTGAACTGCTATTTCAACCATTTTTCACCACTTTGTAAGATAAGAGTGATGCAAGATTCAATCCAACATCTGCAGACTCATGGTTCTAACTTTTTCTCAAATTAAATCGAAGCACATAATTGCACTTGAATTAGAAAACTACGTTAGTGAGCGAGCCTGCCAAATCATAATTGCTAACTATGGGTTGTAAAACCTGTTTTTGAAAGGCTCACTCAGGGCATTGCCAACTGAGGATGTAATAATAAATTGTGATTTCATTACACTAAAGATCAGGATTTATCAAAATATGATCAGATTATCTGAAAGATCCAGACTATTCTGGAAAACTGTTATCTCTGTATATCAACTGATAAGAGCCTGAAGATCCTCAGGAGGTGGCTTTGTCTTGGTCTCACCATCATCAACACTTCTTTGGTGAGAACATTGGAGAGAGCCTTCTCAGTGGATGCTTCCAGTTTTTGGAACTCCCTTCCCTAAGAAGTTAGGATGGTCCACCATCATCTCTCCTTTTGCCAGCAGGTAAAGGCTGTTTTATTGAACTAATCTTCATGATTAATTAATGGCAGGAATACTTTAATGGGGCCCTGTGCTGAAAACAATATTTAACTTTATTTTTGTTTTTAAAAGGATTTGATACTTCTTTAAATATAGTTTGTGTTTCATTATGATGATAGTTTCCTTGTGGTTTTAACCTTTCTATTTTTAGGTTTTTTGCTTTTATAAATGTCCTTGCGACCCTTGATAGAAGAAAAACAGTCTATAAATAAAATAAATAAGTAATAAACCAGAAAGAGGTTCTTACAATAAATGCTTACTTCCTTCTGCTGAATTCACTAGGACTTCAATAAAAAGTGATAAAAGTGAGTAGAAACTTACATCTAAAACCTATTGTTAGTCCTAACAAGAACGGGTATGTTACATTAGAGGTAATTTATTGCCAAGATGCAGGGATTCAATGAAGCTACTATGAGTTGTATGAGCTTTACCTGTAACTCGAAGATCAGTCACACTGTTTGCCATTTTAAATCCATATGTCATGGACTGAAAATCTTCCTAATCATAAAAGAATAAAAAAAAGAATTATAGCCAAAGCAATACTTCTTTCAAATAAGTCCTGCAAAGAACAGAAATTCAATCTTCAGCTTTACTGCTGGAGGTATACCTCTAAATATTTTTAAAATATCACTAAGAAACCTTAAATGAACTGGTATTTCAAAGTCGTGGGGAAACAATTTCCGCCTCCTGTTTTTTTTATTATTATTATTATTATTATTATTATTATTTTTAAAAAACATGATAATAGCATTCTTTGCAGATTGATTCTCAGTTTTGGTTACTTTAGAAACAAGATTTCAAAATAAAATTTACTAAAATATATATTTATTTATTTAAAAAGCATGAAAGAACTATAAGAAAAAGCAAATAAAACCATAATTGGGATAAAAAAATCTTACCTCTTCAAATACGGCTGCTTTATTCACCTTTTCTCTGGCAATATCACAGATTTTCAGGATCCCCAGAGCAAATGCTTTCATGGCTGGGTCCTCTATAAAGTCTGGATTATGAATGTAAAGGCAAGTGAATACTGTCTGTGCTAAAGAATGGCCTTCCAACCATGTTATCTGAAGAGATCAAAAACAAAATATCAGTAGGTCAATTTTGTGACATTTCACAGATAATTCAGTACTTAATTCCCCATTAATTCCATGACTAAAAGCAGGTGGAGAAAGTTTCAAAATTGTTAACTTTTTTCAATAAGCTATGCAGAACAAAAGAAAAGATGCTCTGATTTTTGACATCTTTCCTATAGCAAATAGGAAATCCAATGCTCACACCACGACTACACCATAATTAAGGGACCCAATTTATTTGCCTTACAATACTTCTTTCCTCCAGGGCTGCACTGGTATAGCATTTGATGAAAAAAAAATTACACTTCCTGGTCCATACATGTATTATTAGCCCAAGGTTGCAGCACATGGGTTTATTTCATTTACTGAAGAAATAACCATAATTCCCCAATGTGGGAAGGATGACATTTTATATTGTACAACACTCTTTAAATTGAAAAATTAATGATGTTTTGCTGTTTTAATTTGGAGTACAATCACATGCTATTTTACTCTTTATGATTTGATCTGTTTTGTTATGTTTTGTCAGCACTGAATGCTTGCCAATTTTTTGTTGTGAACCACCCTGAGTCCCCTTGGAAGATAGGGCAGGATAAAAATAAAATTGCTGTTATTATTATTATTATGCTGACTCAGAAGTTATCCCACAGCCTTTCATAGGAATTGGTTTAGGACTGTAACTTAAGAAGCCACTAGTTAAAATTCTGTAATATTTACATTTGGAGCTTTGAATTTTGTAAATACTCCTTTTAAGAGGTTTCTGACAAGTAGCCTTTTGTATTATTCTAACGTAAAAAAGTCAATATTCTTACCAAGCAACAAAAACAAGTATCCATTATTCCTATTAACTCAGGTAGTGATAAGTCTTTGATTTTAATGGTGCCATCCTTTAAAAGAGTAAAAGAGAAAATATGCATGAGAAACAGTATTTTATCAGCCTAAAAATAAAGCAGTTGTTCAGATACTTTTCGAAGGAACAGCTAAAAAAGGGTAGAACCCTGGTTGATTTACTATAGTTCAGCAAATTTCTGACCCCCAGCCTGAGATAATCAGGAATTGATTATTTTACAAAAGAGCTGAAATCATGCTCATGAATTCAGAGACAGTAATTTAATTCTATGACTTTAACACATGGTCCTATTTCTTTTACCCATGGTTCTAGTGGATCTTTTGGTTCCATAAAAAAACTTTCTTAAAGATTTCCACTTAAAAAAAATCTTCTGGGCTCATTTGACTACCCTATTTTTGCCCCAAAACAGTTCAAATTCCAAGTCTGGAAGCTTCCAAGGGTGTCAATTCATGATTCTAATATGTTGCAGGACCTTTTAACAACAACAGCATTCTTTTTTTTTCCAAAAGTAGCAGTGAAGGTTTGGCCACATCAGATGTTTTTACAGATGCTGCCTCATCAACCTCAGGGCAGAAAACTGACCTATCCAGATCTGTCACACCTGACCACCTCTGCCTTAAACTCATTTGAAGTTATGCATGTATGCATTTCTTCAACAATAATGTATCTTTAGGAATCACTAAAAAAGAAAGAAGGAATGCCAACCTTGATAGCTTGTTCAAAATTCAGAACTTTTCGGTTAACTTGGTTTCCAATCATACCAGCATCCATCTTGGGGTCCATCATTTCAATAGCAGACATAGCTTCAAAAAGGCCAAAACTAAAGAGAGCAGCATAAAAGAAAATGCTACATTGGCACAATGAAAGTTGTTATGAGCATAGCTTATATAAAACAGAAATAATTAAAACACATCCATTTATGTGATTTATGCAATTTGCCATATGAGAACTTATATAACATGAATACAATTTATAAGAAAAGGAAATGAGAAATTTAAATGTATAGGCCTAAAACACAATTTCAATTTTGCAGATTCCTGACTTCGTACTATGTGCAACCCAGAAACCACAGTTCTGGCTTGTTCTGCTTAACATACCACAGTTATTTTAAACTACAATTCTTGATCTGCACACATTGCTTCACAGGGAATCTGCTGAAGAGAAAGACATTCTGATGTTGTCCGTTTACTGAAATCACAGAGAGAATATAAATAGGCTCTTCAGATAGCTTTGTGCAGACAGCACTCTGTTATGATCTAGCACTGCACTGAAATGCTGAAGTTAATTATTACCAATGAGTGTTTATGTTCAAACTTAAGTTGCGTTCATCAGTTACTCCAGGCTAATATAAGTCCATAGTCAAAGTGTGTTCCCCTCCTTTCAAAAAGATAAAGCATAATGACCTAAAAATCCACATATTAGGAAGCTATATTGTTATGGTGCACTTACAGTTTATCATGAAGCAACTCCCCCAACTTCAATTCTAGAAATCAATTTGAAAGAAGAATGATTCATTAGAACAGTATTCTTAAACTTCCAATCACTGTCTCCCAAAGCAGCTACTTTACTCTCAGCTCAAGAATAGAAAATGGAATGCCGGTGGACAAAAAGGGATATTATAAATTGGGTTTAAAGCTAACCTTTAAATTGTTGTATAGACACCTGAGAACTGGGAAGCCCTGATTCTCAAGCATTGTAAGTGGAGGTCAGCTGGTATGGATTTTGAAGAGGAATGAATGGAGGGCAAAAGGGAGAAACATAAAAATAGAAAGGCATCGAGCAAACCCTTGTCGTGACCACCTGCAATCTGGAAACCAATGTCCTCGCTGCAGAAGACCATATGGATCCAGAATAGGTCTCTACATTCCCTTATGACTCTTCGTGTGGAAGAGTAACACTTAGCCTGGAGTGATCCCCATGACTTCCAACATGATGGGGCTCTGCTTGAATGACTGACACCAACCTTCTCCCAAGACTGACAGTTTCACCCATGTCCCATTTTGACCCATCTCCCCTCTAGAACCCCAATGCTGGCATTTCCCTCATGCTTTACCTCTACAGCAGTCTTCAAAGTCTTGGGTAATGTCTACCCAGCTTGTGTTGCTCTTCTCCATCTTCTCTGGGAGGTTGAGCTCCCATCCCGAGTCATCATCTTCAACGGAGGCCTTCATAACCATGGCCTGACACCTGCACAAAGGGGCCACATCAAAAGGAGGGCGGTCACATAGATATCTGTAGAAATGCAAGCGATGTTGGGAGGGATGGTGTGTAAATAAGCAGGGTCAAATATTGTTTGGATGTTGATGTTTCAGAATGGGAGAGAGGGCCCATGGAAAACCTGGGCATCCAAGACCCCTTCCACACAGCTGAATAAAATTCCACATCATCTGCTTTTAACTGTAATATATGGCAGTGTGTACTCAGATATCCCAGTTAAAAAGCAAATATTGTGGGATTTTCTGCCTTGATATTCTGGGTTATATGGCTGTGTGGAAGGGCCCATGAGACACATATTGTCACTGGGGGCCTTCCACACAGCCATATATCCCAGAATAACAAGGCAGAAAATTTCACATTATCTGAGTGTGGCCTCAGATAACCCAGTTCAAAGCAATATTGTGGGATTTTCTGCCTTGATATTCTGGGTTATATGGCTGTGTGGAAGGGTCCTATGTGACACAAATTGTCACTGAGGGCCTTCCACACAGCTCTATATCCCAGAATAACAAGGCAGAAAATCCCACATTATCTGAGCGTGGATTCAGATAACCCAGTTCAAAGCAATATTGTGGAATTTTTCTGCCTTGATATTCTGGGACACAAGGCTGTGTGGAGGGGCCTGTGTCCACATTCAGATAATGTGGGATTTTCTGCCTTGATATTCTGGGATATAGGGCTGTGTGGAAGGGCCTTGAGTGTCATTCAGCTCAACAGGCCTCCAATTGGGGAAGCATACCTGAGCAGGGACTAGTCAACCACTTTCGACGGGAGAAATGTCCCTTTTCGGCCTCCGTAACCGCTCCTTCGCCGACCGCTGGAGAGAGGGGAAAAGTGGGCGGAGCCAAAGTCCCATTTACTTCCACAGCCCTTACGCAGTGATCCTTCTCGGCCTCCGTAGCCGGCACTTCTCTGATTGGCAGCGAGTGAAGCCAAGGAGGCGAATGTGGGCGGAGCGAACGCCCCACCTGACGTAAAACGGGGGTCTGCAAGAGAAAGAATGGTCTGTCTACTGCGCATGCCCAAGGTCCCGTCGGCAGCCAACAGACGCCGGAAGTTTAGGGCCCATCGCACTTCCGTTTCCACCTAGAAGTAAGAGAGGAAAGAACGGTAGGAGTTCGGGTTTTGGGAGTGTAGAGTTCGCATTGGGTTTGACTGTGATTTTGGGAAGGCCGCGGGAGTGGCCGTTGTTTCAGAGAGAGGAAAGGAGTATTCTGTCACCGAGGGAGGAAAGCACAGTGTTTCACTCTCCCCGTTTCTGGTCCGTATAGGGTCTTCTCACACTTCAGTACTTTCATTCCACCTTAAATGCTGTGACTGCCTCCTGCAGAATTCTGGGGCTTGTGGTTTAGGGAGGCCCAGGGCTTCTCGGGATGAGCAGTTTGAAGCCCCTCTACAAACTCCAGAAGTCTCCAGGAGGCCGTGACAGCGGAATTCTGGGGTTTGTAGATTAGGGAAGAGCCTTTAAACCGCTCAGCAAGAGAAGCCCAGGACCTCCCATTAACTACAAGTCCCAGAATTCTGTAGGAGGCCGTCACAACATTTAAAGTCGATTGAAGTAGAAAAATACCCAAGTGTGAGGAGGCTCCTAGAAACAGAACCCAGAAGCGAAGATCAAAATTTTCCATTAAACCGGTTTTCCTTCATGGCAGAAATGTAGCCCCCCTTCATTTAAAGTTTCCGCCCAGAAAAATGGCCTTGCAGTTTATTTTTTTATTTTCTCAATACCCCGCCTTTCTCTACCCCAAAGGGGACTTAAGGTGGCTTACATCGAGGCAATTATTCAATGCCTTAAAACACATACAAATCCAAATAATCCAAATAAATAAAAAATGGAATAAAATTGAAACATATTCAACATTTAAAAACATTAAATTCCATATTAAAAATTATGCAAAATAAGTTTATTTATTGGCCTTGAAGACAATCTACTTCTAGTGGCCCCAGACCTTCACCGCATCATCAACAGCCCTTCTCATTTCCCATCTATACTGCCATGTAATGCAGTTGAACTCCATTATATGAGTGCACCAGGTACTAGCAAACTTTGGCCTTCTGGGTATTTTGAATTTCAACTGAATTGTGAGAATTGAAGTCCAAAACACCCAGAGGGTCAAAGTTTGCCCATGCCTGGTCTACACTGATTATATAACGCAGTTTCAAACTGCAGTATATGGCAGTTTATATATCTGAAGCAGAGACATGATGGTGTGGACAATCCCAACGTTTGTATTCAACGATATACTGCAGGATCTTATCTAGTGCCTTCCAAATCCAAGGATGCATCTACACTGTAGAATGAGTGCAGCTTGATACTTTAATGCCATAGATTCGTGGGAGTGATACTCTTCCAAAGTCTTTGCCCAAAGAGTGCTGGTGCCTCACCAAACTACAACTCCCAAGATTACATAGCATAGAGCCAGGGCGGTTAATGTCAAAGTGCATTAATTCTACAGTGTAGATGCACCCTAAGATATCTTTTCCTTTCTGGTACTTGAAACAAATAATTGGCCCCTGAAGCTCTTAATTCAAAGTTATTTGAAGCAGCAGATAGATCTTTGGGCTCAAAAAGAAGAAAAAAAAAAGGGGGGGCTGACTCAAAATGCAAACATTCAAGTAAATCCACCAAGACAAATAGTCTTCTGGTTTCTAGATCGCAGTCCCCATTCTAATTAAGGACTCAACAAAGGTATAGGACAGGGGTCCCCAAACTAAAGCCCGCAGGTCAAATGCAGACCTCAGAGGTAATTTATCTGGCCCCTGCCTTACATTTTAGACATTGGGTTGCCCAAAGTTTGAAATGATTTGAAGGCACACAACAATAATCCTAATTAACTTGACTATCTCATCAAACAGATGCAGGCCCACACTTCTCATTGAAATACTGGTAAGCTTATGTTGATTAAAATTGTTCTTCATTTTAAGAATTGTATTGTTCTTTCATGTTGTTTGCTCTGAAAATAAGAGATGTGCAGTGTGAATAGGGATTCGTTCACGTTTCTTTCAAACTATAGTCTGGCCCTCCAAGAGTCTGAGGGATCGTGAACCAGCCCTGGGCTTAAAACGTTTGAGGACCCCTGGTACAGGGAGTCAGAGTGGTGTAGATTTTTAACATTACATTTATTTATTTATTTCGAGCATTTCTACCCAATCCTTAACCCCTGAAGGGTGGCTTACAACGGCAACAATTCGATGCCGACCACATACAACACATTACTTACAACATTATACAAAAGTTAAAACATTAGATTAAAATACATTTAAAATATTATTATTGTTATATAGCCAAATCAAAGTCTGATTTAGCAACCAACAACCCAGTCAAAATTCCAACATCATGATTACTGCCAAACCTACTGTCCAAAGGTGGGGTCCCAAAACCTTGTTTTGATCTTCCTTCTAAAAAAGAGGAGGGATGGAGCCAACCTAATCTTGCTAGGGAGAGCATTCCACTGGCAGGGGGCCACCTCCCCCCTGATTCTCAGGACTAAGGTTCAAATCCTTTCTTAGCTGTGGAAATTCATCTGGTGACTTTGGACTATTCACACTCTCTCAGCCTCATGAGGAAGTTACAGGAACCCCCCTCTAAACAAATCTTACCAAGGTAAACCATTGATAGGTTCATTCAAGGGTCACCATAATTTAAAAATGACCTGAAGACACAAAACAACAAAGTACTCTCCTCTCTCCACATATCTGGATTTGGCTTGCATATTTAATTATTCACGTATTTGATTAAAATCTCCGCTTTATGCATCTCTAGATCCTCCAGTGCATTTCTGTGGGCCAACTCCAGCAGTTGTTGAGCACAGAGTTGTGTTTAAAGATCTAAAGATTCCTAGAGATATATGCTCCCAGGTTAAAAAAGGTTTTTATCCATATTTTTTTAATTTTTAATTTGTGCAGGTGATAAAAATAGAGTTGAATATTAGTACATGGGTAATAGCTTACCAGGTTCATTTTTCTCATGATTATTTTTAATATTATTTGTAATTTTTATTTCAGTATTACCCTTTGTTATCTTAATTTTCTGTGTGTAATGTGGATGTTGCTATGGCTGATCTTAATAAATAATTTTATACTTTCAAGCTACAAGGTGTCTTATTTACAACAACATCCTTTACCCACATTGAAGGTAGAAATATAGGTTTGATGTAGAAATGTAGGTAGAAATATACATACATAAAAAGAATGCAAAGTTGTCACTGTTTCTGTCTGTTTGTTATTTTTAAGCAGGTAGATTTCTAGGGGGACGCTGAGTAATTTTTGTTAAAGGGGGGCAGTAGGCCAAATAAGGTGGGAACCTCTGCCATGTCGAACGTTTTTGTAATCAATAAATCTTAGGTGGTAATTTCTTCTTGTTTCCAGTAGTAAGCATAAACAACCTTCATTGTAATTATAATGTATAAAAAGAGTGGCAGGAATTTTTTTTTAGTAGTGTTGAATTTGTAAGTCCCAAAAGAAAGGCTTCTGGCTCTAGTATTACTTTAATTTTTAGCATGTGTTCAATGTTCTTCTGAATTATAATCCAAAACGTTTTTGCTTTAGGACATTTCCAACAAACATTTCTTGATTTTGGTTCCATCTTTGCTAATATTTTTGGCCTCATATACCATCTATACATCATCTTGTAGAATTTTTCTCTTAGTCCATAGCATATTGTGAATGTAATCTTTGTTTTCTACCTCTGTTCCTATTTGTCTAGGTGAATGTTATGGCCCACATTCTTTGACCATAAAATCATACAATCTTTGATTAGATATCCTTCTGAGTGTCATTTTAATAATAATTTAAACGCTTTTGCAATTTGCTTTTCCTTGGACTGGAAGAAAATACTATGCATTTCATTACTTTTCCAATCAATGCCTATCTTCCTATCCATTTAGTATCTTTTTTTAGTTGTCCATACGGAAACCATGAAAATTGTGTGCCGTCTTGTTGTAGTTGGCTTGGACTTATTAGATGAGCCTCATTTTTTTTGTCCAATTAACACCTGTAGGTGGGCCATTGGTCTCCCCCAATGGGAACCTCTGGTATAGAATATCACACACACCCTCTCTTCAATCCTCATCTCACCAACATCCTTTGATATGGCAATGTTTCCCATTGGCTTCTTTAACGGTTTCTGAATGCCTGCTTATCAAGGAGGTTTTCTTTGTTACCATCACTTCCTAAGGTAATTTCTTAGTTCCAATTAAACCAAGTCATTGTTTTACCTACTTTCATCCTGCAGCTGTCATTACCTTTAGAGAAGGCACTCCATTGTCTGGATACCCACAAAACCCTGACTTTATGTTTAGTATAAAGTAGAACTCCTGAATTAATCAGATTTACATATTTGTTGATTTTTCGTTTTTTACTTTTAAAAAATCCTAAAATCAGAGTCGAAGGAGACCACAAAGGTTTCCCAATCCAACTGAACAAATCAAAGCATTCCAGACAAATGGCCATCCAGCTTTTGTTTAAAACCTTCACCACACTCTGAGACAGCATATTCCACTGTCAAACAACTCTTACAATCAGGATGTTTTTTCCCCAATGTTAAGGTGCAAACTACTTTTCATGTGCTCTGTTCTTGTTTCTAGAGCAGCAGAAAACAGCCTTGCTCCACATTCAACATGATGTCCTTTCAAATATTATACATGGCTAACACGTCACCTCTTAAACTTCTCTTCTCCAGGCTAAACATACCCAATATCTTAAATTACTTTTCATAGGGAATGGGTAACCAGAACATTTACCACGTGGGTGGTCACTCTCAGGACACATTAGTTTGTCAAATGTCCTTTTTGAATTGTGGTGCCCAGATCTGGACACAGTATTCCATGTGAGGTCCAACCAGAGCAGAATAGAGTGGGACTATCACCTCCTTCGATTTAGACATTATACTCCTATTGATGCAGCCTAGAATTATGTTGAGTTTTTT